AGCTATCCTTGTACAGTCCTGTTGTTCATACATGCCACATCTTCTGGAGGAGAGGAACAGGCTACTGCACGAGTAACAAGCCGGACAGGAATTTACTGAATCCCAAACTATAAGCGACAAGCACGTTCATGGCATGTTAAGCCTTTGAGTGCTCCGTGCAATACTGTTCAGCATCCACGCCCCTCCCACCACAGCACCATCAGTGCGATAATCCAGCAATACTCCTGTAATGGCCCACTGGTTTGACCTAATCTATACTGACATAACATGAATAAAGTCCATAAGTAGGCCCACCCCACAGTACACTACATGATAAGCAAGACATTGATAATAGACAGAGGACATGCTAATAGAGGATCACACTGCAACATGACCAAATATGAATGTTTATTTATCCAGTCAGCCTAACATACAGCGCAGTATGTCACGCTTTTGCTGTTTGTATACAATCATGAAAGGCACAGTGTTCCTACTAGATCATACAACTATGCAGAATTATAAGCATGAATTTAGTGGAAATCCCTCATCTTACAATCTGAAAACTTGGGTCTCGTCATATTGGTATTCTTGGCGAAAAGCTTTCACCTGGTGAAAACATCCAGTACATTCTTCTGGCTGGATCCACTTGATACAGCCTGACTCAGATCCAGAGGATTGGATCGGTCAGTGCAACCCTAGTAATAGTGCAAAGTAGTTAGAATTTCATTTTAATTTTATTTTTTATTTTTTCTATATTACAGGTTTGTAGTTTTCAGTATGTACTGATGGTAGTTTGAATTAATATTTATGAACAATTTTTCCATTTATTGTCAACTTATGGTCAGACATAAATGGGTAAATTATTGCAAGTTCAGTTTTTATTTATGTTGTCCAGCTTTACAAGAATCTTACCAGACAGGCAAGTTAGACAATACAGCAAGTAACAACTTATTCTATCCATCTGTCATCTGTACCCACTTATCCTGTTCTGGGTCATGGGTGGGGCTAAGAGGCTAACACATACATACAGAAGATGATGCACAAACTCCCCAATCCAGGGACAAGCAAAACAAGCAAACCCCACGTAAAAACAGAGGTAAACAGACGAAACATCATCAATGTTATCATCCATTAAACTATAAAACAACCTCTCTCCTTTATTTATTGGTCCTTTCTGCCCCACATTATGTTGCACTGGTCCTAACAGTAAAATTGCCGCTGGTGTTTTAAAACCAACTTTGTTCAACGAAAACAGTTCTATTCAGTCTCCATTTTACAGTGACAAAAGCAGAGACAGCTGTCAGCTGCTGCAGAGCTTGTATTTTGCCAGGCTCTATTCAGACTGGCTTTTCTTCTGTCAAAAGGGGCCTGCTGGTTTTGCTTGTCCTCCGATCCTCTGGCTGAGCAACACAGGAAAATCTTCTGAACAACTAAGATTTGTGCCCCATTCTGAGGATGTTTTTCAGGCCAGACACTGCAGTGAGGCCTTCAGGGGAGTTGAAGCCCATTGTTAAGACAGCAATAAAGGGAATCCTCCAATCCTACAATCCAATCCATGATGAACAATGTATGTATTCTTCGCTGTCAAATGACAAAGCTAATAATTTGATGCACACCTAGAAAGCTTGTTAATCATCTCCATGGGCTCTTGCTGAAGTTAACAACTAGAGTTCATATCAACATACAACAGTGATTATGATGATTTCAATTTACCTTCAAATTCAAAACTTGGGTTGCTCCTACAGCATGACGAGGCCAATCTAGGTTTGTGTGAACACAAAACTAGAGCAAAACACTAGACTGTAAAATGTCATGACAACACTGTCACGGCAACACTGAAGCAGCATCTGTTTTCTACCGTGGAGAGAAACAAGCTCATGGTTCATGACACTGTCTTTTGAATTTTTCTTTGCTTTTCCATGTTGCCTTTATGAAAAACCTATTTTGGGAAACTCCCTAATTCACTTTCAGTGAAACACTGCCAGTGTTTAGGTCATTTACAGCTCAACCAGCTTTAATCGCATTACTTTTTTTTTCTCTCTCTCAAAGTCACTAATAGGTTCTGTAGGCCTGTGTGAACTGGTCATGCATACAGAATAGTCAGAAAAGCATATTGCTCAGTGGGAATTGATTGCAATATCAAACCCAGACTGAGAGGCCGAGGCATTGTTGGACTACCACTGCATTTCCTGAACTGCAAATCAGAACAGGGCCTGAGGATAAGCCATACTGTTGTCTGATCCCACCTAGATCAAACTCTATCAAGGCCAAAGTGACTTACACAAATGTAAATGGGAATGTGACACAACACAGGCTTTCAAATCAATCTCCATTTGCAGTTTGGTGACAGGGCCATGATAAAATCCCTTTACAGCATTTTGTCCACGAAAAGGACAGCAATAAATTGTATTGTGAATTATATTACAATAACAAAAATCCCAAATAATCAATCTATTCGCAAATGAAATATTGATATCATGTTAATATTAGACTGATATTTGGCCAAGTTCTGCAAGAATTTAAGCACAAAAGTATTGTTGGCAGAGCCAGACTTAGCCTGAAGCTGCTGTATGCTATTCCTAGTTAGAAAATGGGCCATACTGGCCTACATACCTGCGTTCTGCAACTGTTAATGGACAGAATCTGATGAACCTGAAAGCCCAATCTGTTCCAAAATGCTGTTATCGCACAGAGCCAAATAGTTTGACCTCATTGTTTTAACTCAACTCTTCACTGATAAGCTGCTCCAAATAAAGCTGCTACTCAAAATCCACAACATAAATTAATTAAATGATCATATACTGTATGTTTTTGTAATCTAAGTACTACAAAGGATCAAATGGGCCAAATTTAATGAGCCAAAAAGGTAGCCATAGTTCCTACTGAAATGTAGGAGGATGACATAAAACTCCAAATGTTAACCACACAGTGTAAGGATGGGGAACAGAAGTTAAACATAAAAGTTGTGTTCAAGACACAAGTGGAGCCACTATCGTATTCAGTTCTGTAAAATCTATTTCAGTAAAGTTCCTAGGTTTTGCCCTGTGAATGAACTTAAAACCTGAGCATGGCTGTGCTGACTCCGGAGCTAGCGGCGCTTTTAAATCTAAAGAAGTTAGGAATTTTTTTCGAGTTGAACTCAACTGTGTCTGTATTGGCTGTAACCTACAAAAGGGTTGGATGTGACACACAAAGTGCTTTTGCACTTAGTAGTTTGTAGCCTCTGAATCTTTCATGACCAGCATATGCTTGTAGCTGAAACTGGCCAGAACCATACAGTACTATAAGTGCAGTTCAACTATTTTAAAGCTTATGGCATGGCAGAGGGATAAAATAAACTTTTCCAAATATATCATCATTATTAGAATAACTTAGAGTACAGCAACCACTGCACAATTTTCCACATGGCTATATAAGACTGCACGATAGGAAAACCAGTGTAAAGGCACACTCGTAAAAGCAGGCTCAATATTCTCACTGTGATTTGTTGTGACACAAAGATCACTTCAATCAAATTGCAAAGCTGCACCTGGCTCGCCATTCCCTCAGACCACAATTATTAATTACTGATGAGCAGTGTTTTAAACTTGTATCTGCTGGGCAAAGACAAAACCAAGACAAGTATGAAGGTGCATTAAAAGAACAAATTCTCTCTTGGCTAAGTGCCACTGCTGAGAACCTAAACTGTGCCTTAGGTCTGAAAGTGAAAAGATATTCTGGGGTGGCGTCCAACACTGCTGCTTAGCAGAGATTCAGTCTGACAGTCTGTTACAATACAGCTGAAACAGATTCATATCACCAGTGTACCATGTATTGTCTGATGGTAGACATCAGTTTTCTGTGATATAATCAAATCCAGAATTCATATATCACACCCTCCAATGATAGTGACAGATTGTTGAAAATAAGCCCAATGTGCCACTCAGCTTTTCATCTGACTGGCCGCAGACCACTCGCTGAGTGTATTATGGACTGAGTAGATGTGGTCAATGCCTGAGCAGAGTAACAATCCTCTGCAATTACATTAACTAACAATCTCTGCAGTCAACACGGACTGGACAGCTGTTAGAACAGAGAAGATCCCCAGAAATAAAATGCCACGCTATCTGTAAATGTATCATCCAGAGTAAACATCTGTCACTGACTGATCTATTGTCCTACTGACATCTCCATACAGAGGTCAGGGGATTTTTTTTAACTCCTGCTCACTAAGTATGTGTTAACTGTAAAGTATAGGGCTTATGTTTTACACTACCAGCTGAGCTAGCAACCAAAATATTTGTAAACCTAGACTTATTAAAGGGAGATATTGAACCTAATTTCTGCATTAACAATTTTTCTCTTCTGGTGGATTTTTTCTTCATATTTTCTGCATTTATAGAGCGCTTTTATCCAAAGTGATTTACAATACATCATGTGCCTCATTCACCCGTTCACACACCAATGCAGACGAGCTCGAACTCTTCTGGTTCTGATGTCAAAGAGCAACAGCTTCTTTCTCGACTTGCTACAGAGGAAAAATTAGCAATATATTTTTCATTTTATATGCTTAAATTCTACAGCAGAGCAAAAAGTCAATGACACTTCAAAACAGCTGCTGAAATGCAGTGGATGTCATAAAGTTAATTTCTAAAATTAAAATCTATTTGGATTAAAGATATAATTATAATTATAAATGTACAGTGAAGATCAGAAGATGCTGTAAATCTTAGTATTGTTCCACCCAGTACCCACTCACTCAAATTAAACTTAATTTAATGAACATGGGCCCAAGTATAAAAATGTTTTGAGGAAACATAGAGACAACACTACACTGAATCTCAGTAGACCTTTGCCAAAGAAACTAAAGCATCCCTGGAGCAATAAAGAAGAATCACTGGACGTCAGCACAATCAAAGAAATTTGACACACTCTTCATCACATACATAACAAAGTAAGCGTATTAAATTCCATGAGACAGTGCCTGAAGAGCGAGCATTTAGTATCAACATATTGTAAAATAGGAAGTAAAAATTGTCTACCGTATGGGTGTAAGGTGCTTCTCCCAGGTTAATCCCATCTTTAGCAAGTTTATCCCTTATCAGTACCTTCAGCTTCAGTTTGGGATAGGTCACAAAGTCATTGCAATCTGTGAATCTCAGGTTATGGTTTCCAGGACAGGAGGCCTGGTGTATTCCTGTGGTCTGTGGGTGTGATCTCAGTGTCCTGAAGTCGTCCTCTCTGTTTGAGTGTGAAGTGTGGTGGAGAGTAGAAGCATCCAGAGGCTCTAAGGTGAAATAGTAGCCTGCTGCTTTTCTTTTGTCCTCCTCTTTTAGATTCTGCACTGCTGTGATCAGCCTGTGTCTGTGGTACTGAATGCGAACACCTATGGCATCCAGGTCTGGTTCTCCGATCTGTTTACACACTTCCAAATCATCGTACCCGTTGTCAATGAAAGACTCCACATACTGGGCCAGATGGAGCTTCGATAGCCACTCCAGGACGAGATTTGGCCCTTGGCTCATCTTCAGACAGGATAAAGGAGGGCTTACCTTAGGTGCACGCCATCACCTCCATGCACACTGCTGCTGCAGCACTGTGATCCATGTAACTCCCACCTTACACAGGGCCCCAGGTTCAAGTCTCCAAAGTGGGCACATCTATTAGTTGTGGGAAGAGCCTTAGAAAAACAGAGCAAACGCATATTTAGAGATGACAGGAAATGTTGAATGAAACACCTTTAACTGTCAGAAGCAAAACCCAACCGCTGCACTGCTGAAGTTCTCTTGAGCAAAAACAGTGAAGACATGCGTCAGGGTCTCTTGTTGACCCTGACCTTTGACATGTCATGGAGCCGTTTAACTTAATGGTAAAAAAAAATACTATGGTTGATTCTAAGCCAAAAGAGCCCAACAAACGAATTTGACTTGAACCGTTAGCCACATATTAACGGTTGGGTGAAGCGTAACAGTTACTTTAGCTGCTTTATCTACGTCGACGGAATCGTAAAGTTAACGTTAGCTAGTGAGAAAAGGCGAATTGACCACGTTTCTCTTAAGTTATCCTCTACCAAACATGGAGAGGAGATAAAACACACCGTAACGTTAACAGTTGGCGTCCTCTCACGCTGCATCCATCCTCTTTGTTTCATTCATCACAACGGTTACGGAGCAAGACGCTCAGGTCCATCAAACATTCATCCGGAGCAACAATTAAAAGGTTAACGCTAAAGCCAGAGCGATATACAATATATAACTACTACAAAAACGCTCGTAGAGGATAAAAAATAAAATGAATTCTCTGCTCTCTATCTGCTCAGAGAAGTGGCTTACTTTATTCCTGGTCTCGCCGTTTGCAACTTTGCTGTCCCACCGCTTCGTCCGCCGGTTCAGTCTGAGTGAGGATGCTGCTCCGGCTTCAGTCATTGCTGTAGTCTTCACCCCCCCCCCGGACGACGGGAGCCCTGCGAACACTGGCGCCACCTGCAGGGACTTCTGGGTAATGTAGGACTGAGAAATTGAGAAATAAAAAAATAAAATAAAAAAAGATGTATTCTAGGTGGTATAATAAAAAAAAGACGTTAAATACTTTCTCAGATATCTTGATTTAAATTTTGAGTTATTCTACCTTGTTGACTAATTTATTAACCTCAAACAAAGAGAAAAGATGTAATACTGGCACTAAACTAACATTGGACTGACATTGATATATATTATTTTTTAATGGCTCATGGCATGCCATTGTATAGGTATATCTGTAATGAAAACAAGTAAAAAGAAAATACCATAAACGTTCTTAGAAGACAACAAAAAATAATTTCTGCCACGTTGAGATAAATGGTCTCTTCATCTTTCTAATTTTGCAGAAACTACTATAAATCAAGGAGGCACCAGGCTGTCCCCTCAGGATTATCAAGGCAGTGTTGGACAATACTCCAGGGTCCTTGATCAAGACAATTTAATCTATTGCTGACACTGACCTCTGACCTTTGGAGGGGCATGCCCAAAAAGAAGTCCGCAGGTAAACGGAAGAACATGAAACAGAAAACACAAGACAAAACATGTTATGATTGGTTTTACATTTATTTTCCATTGCACAATAATATCTATATATACTGTATCTACAGTCTAAATTGTTTGTGGCAGCAGATTAAGTCAGACATCCATGTGAAATTTATTTTAATAAAACTGTACAAAAATTGCCTACTATGAGAAAATACTGCAACTCCACAGATATTCATCCCAGAAGACAGATGGATGGAAGTATGGCGACTGAGAAACCCTTGAGCTCTCCTGCACGGTGCTGTGAGCCTAGCTTCGGTTTCAATGCATTTTTACAGCGCAGGGGAAGCAAGAGTTTTCATGAAGCAGAACAGTAACATAAACAGATGTACCAACAAAATAAATATAATCTCTCACACTTATACAATTGGCATGATCAAACAAAAATGGGACACACTTCTGATGTGTTGGTGAGAACTTCAGTTTTGTTCAACATGGTGGTAAATACAAATGCCAGAACAGACAATCTCTAAGAGGGGATAATACATGGTTGTTTCAAGTTTGTAAACACTTAATATCATGCATCCTTCAATGTGCAATAAGAGACCATTTAGGACATATATGTTGCAAACTGAAGCACTTTAAAGTCGAGGCCACACTTTGTAGAAAGACTCAGCGGCCCACCGACAGGAGATGACCCTCCTGCATTAGCAAAGCTCGAATCTGAAATGAGCATGTTCAATATATAACCAGAAATGTTTATTGTCATGTCTGGATGATGGATAATTATGCACAACCATTGTTTGGACATTAATGTGATTAATTCTATCCCAAAATGACGTTAAAGGTATTCATTTTTAATAATTCTTGAAATTAAAAGTATATATATTTGTTTTCAAATATATAAATATATCATAGTATCATCAACCTGACATTGAAAACAAATCTGAGAGTGAAGCAATCAGCATGGCAAATGACATAGATAAGCATAGGTTCTGTCATGTTTTGGTCCTTTCGAAAAAAAAAAGAAAATGGGACACGAAAGAATAAACACATTAAAAATCATACTAACAAAATTATTTTAAGTACAAAAAATAGTGCAAAACCCACATAACTGCTCTTTCAAATGGGTTTACCTCAGTAGTATACAGTAGATTAAAATCAGCCAGCTAAAAGTGAAGGGTTTTATTCCAAAATGCTGTATATCCATCTTGGAGAAAACTTTTTTTTTTTTTTTTGGTGTAACTGATAACTCAACATCTCCTAACTATACATGATTTAACACTCTTAAATCTAAGAAAACTTCTCACAGTATCTCTAAAGTTTAACTTCACGTCTGCAACCATTTTCCATGAGTCTGTTACATAATTTTCTTTGGTGGATATCTCATTTTGGAACGAAACTCTTCAGATTCACTTTGCTTGTCGTCTGAACACATGTACAGCAGTTTGGGAGTAATGAGGGTGTTATGCACAGAAGAAGAAGCTAAAGCGGATCTTCCATCGCCCCCCCCCCTACGCACAGTAGACTTCTTGACTCGTGCTGTCCAAGGTATCCGGACTGACTCTTACCATTTGGGAAAAAATCAAGACAACTCTGTGAAATTAAGCAACTCTTTGGTGTCGGAAAAGAACATGGCCGCAAGCGTATACAGTATGTCACGTTGCCTGAACCTGCACTGTCAGATTTGTGTCCAGCTGTCCCGTTATTTACAACATTTGGCAGCAATCCGGACTGACAAAAGCCTCGTCTCTCTTTCCAAAATAAAAGACCAACAGATAATGCTCCTACATTGACACAAATAGCAGCATATCCTTGCACCTCATAAAAAAGAAATCTAATTACAATAGAATTCTAGTTAATCACATTGAAAAACACTGTCGAGCAAAAACAAAAACCTCAAAAGACCTATTGTAATACACTGTATCTATGTAGTATTATAAATATTGGCGCCCATACACATATTCCTGAATATATGTATGTTCACAAACACACAGATATACACATAGGTAGAGGTTAGCATATATGCGTCATGAGGCAAAGGCAGAAGAGAAACTGTTTTTAAGTGAATGGTTCTGAGAGAGATGACCAGTGGCGCTCGGTCATTTCTACTGGCAGCTACAAATACAAAGACAGCATTACTATTTCCATTGTGCTGTAAGAGACACATGCTTTTTTTCCCTACACATTGAGAAACGAGACAAAAAAAATCAACTTCAGCTATGACTGAATACAAAAAAAGAAATTTGAATAATCATGTATAGATAGAATCTTTATCACAAAAAAACTTAAAATTGTAACCAAAATATACATTTATGCTAATTATACTAAGGACAATCTTTGTCATGCCCTTCAACATGTCATCCTCCACATACGGGACTTAGCTACAGCCCCTCGAAAGCTAGAATATAAAGACCTTCAGGAGTTTTCCAGTGTATCAACTCTTCGTTTTTCTGATAGATCAATGTAAACTCTTCATTGGGGGTAAACACTTTCAGCACTTTTTTTTTTTTTTGCTCATTTAATTGACAAAGGAAAGAAAAATAAAATTCAATGCCCAACATACAAACTCCTTTAATTCCTAATCTATTATACTGTTCCAATAAATAATCAAATTTAAAACAAAACCAAAGTGACTCTCAGAAAACACGCCATTTGTCGTTCTCACCTAAAACAACTTGGGTAATGCTCTAAAAAAAGGAATGGTCGGTGATGAACTAGTGTACTACCAGCCCTTACTCGGTGAGAGGCAATAGATTCATCATCTCCCTGTCCATTTTTTTTTTTTTCACGGTTCTAAGTGCTTGATAGGACCTTTCTGGACAAAAACAACAAAAACAGAAAAATAATTTAGACCAGAAGAACAAACAGACACAAGTCCTCCACTGATTCAATCATTCCTACAGAAACGTACATCTTCATTGACTTGATTAGATTTAAAGTACAAGGGGATCATCAGACTTTTCTCCTCATTTAAAGTCCACTGTGTTTGGCAGACACCATAAAGGGCAGAGAAAGGAAAAAAGAACAATTGCAATCAGGCCACCACAAGTACATGTTTTGCAGAATTGTCTTTCCTCTTTCAGAACAAAACAGCAGGGTGTGTAGATATATATATGAGATATATATGAGTGCATGACTGATGGATATGAAAGGTCCTCTCTCTCCTGTTCTGCGGACTGATGCCGCACGAACATCAGCGCTCTCTGGTGAAACGGAAAGAGAGAGTCCTATGAGCTTCTCTTCTCCCATTTCTTTCCATTCTCATTACGCTGGCTCGACCAGTGTCCACTCCGCAGCAGTCCTCCGGTGACTGAGGTAATGCAGAGTGTATGATATTGTGCTGAGAATAAAAGCATGAGTCTGTTGAGCAGAACCCCAGCCCCCCCCCTCAGCCCGTGGAGAGAAATGGAGAAGAGAAGAAGAGAGACCTGCAGCTCCTCAGAGATACTGGTGTGCGTGATTACAGAGTCCGAAGCTCCACACGCTGCCATCAGAGCTGGTACCACTTCTTATCTTTGTACTTCAGCATCATCTGAGGGCAAGAAATAGAAAAAATAGGAGTCAGAAATAAGAAGTGAAACTGTAAAGAACGGTTTAGATAGTCAAAGAGATGTTGGGTGCGTACATCATGGGCATGTTTGGAGAAGGACTCTGCGCTGGCCATCATGGCTGCCGTTCTCTCCTCCAGCTCGCCCAGTTTCTGCCCTCTCTCGTCCAGGGCTATCCGGGCGCGGGCCAGATCTCCCACGACCCCGGACGCTGCACCCTTCATGCCCTCCATGCCGCCCGGGCCAGGGATGTGTTGGGCCAGGCTACGGGAGGCCTTCCCAGCACTCGTTTCACCAACTACCAAAGATGAAAAAACAGAAATTACTTTGTCGTGTTCAGTGTAGGGGTTGTGTCGAGAAATAGAGACAGAAACACATGAGGGAGCCATGATGTGATACTAGGCTGATCTGTACTCACAGAGATCCTCCCTGTCCAGAGACTGAGCTCCTCCACCAAAAAGGCCTTTGAAGAAACCTCTGTTAGGAGCCTCTGGTGTCTCCACAGGGGTAAATAACTCACTGAGCATCTCCTGGAGAACACAGAAACATCAGCACAATTCATCACAAGCACTCACACGCTGTACTTTGGTTTTTTGATCCAATACCTACATGCAAAGTCTTTTCTGCACATGTTACATTATTGGATCTGATAATGACACATGAATTCAAATTCACTGATTGAGAGTATCTGACCTGCAGGTTGTCGCAGGTCTCCTGGCTGTAGGTGATCCTCTGGATCTCGGTGGGAGAGGTGAGGTACAGGGCTTGACCCAGGTTAGAGAAGCAGAACGTTCTGGCTATCCGCATGTCTGTCAGCGGCAGGTAGTTCACATCCAGCAGAGGCCGCAGACTGGGCAAACTGAGAAGACACACAGATTAGACAGCTGGCTGTTTGAGCTGTACGAAGACAGTTATTTTGGTTTCTGATAGTAGATACAAATATCAACAGAAAGCACCAGTGACGATACCTCAGAGTCATGATGTGCCCGTTAGCACAGAAACAGGCGATGCAGTTCGCTCCGGCCATCTGCACGACATCAGCCCTTAGCACAAAGGAGGTCTCTGTGATGTTGTGTTTGTAGATGCGGGTTTGAGAGGGCATCGCCACCACCTTGGCCTGTTTCTCCGAGCACAGCACGGCAAACTGGTTGTTGTCTGGACCCTCTTGTGACGAGGGAGGGGAGGCTGGCCTGCGCCTCCTGCTCTTCTCCTTCTCCTCATCTGAGGCGTTTGGGTCATACCATGGCTCGTAGGTAGGGGGCAGCAGAGCCCCAGTGGAGTCCAGCAGGGCCATCGTCAAAATGCCTCCTTTGAGTCTGACTAGAGTGCCTGAGAAAAGGAGGAAGTGTTTCAGTTTGGATTCAAATTACCACAAAATGTAAAAGCATGATCTCTTAGCTCTCGTAGCTCTCCTGCTGCTACAGTCCTCAACCCACAGTCAAGCAAGACGACAGCAGAGCGCGGTCAGTTGGATATAAATAAATAAATCCATTTCCACTAGTCACCCGCCCCTATTCAAAAGTTTCTGTCTGTGCTGTGGCTGTGCTCTCACTGAGGTTTAAGCAGTCACATTTTAAATGATCCTAAATCCAGCCTGACCTTTCACTTTCTGGAATACAAAAATGCTGAATTGGTCCTTTTTAACGCTGTTTTCAGGAAATGTGTCTTTGTCAGTTAACAACGCAGTGCTGCTATGAGGCAATGCAGTTTGAACAAACCATTTTCAGAATCATCAAAAGACACAGTCCATGATGAGTGTACAATGCACTTTAAGTGGGGTTGAATCATATGCAAAAAACAAACCATACTGTGATTATTTTGGCAGATATTGAGATTGTGATCTTGTACCAAACAAACATGTTCCTTTACGTCTGGAGAATATGATTTATAGGCCAGGGCGTCTCTGTCGCACCACAATGCTTCATTTATAATGGTGCGTTGTGACACATTCTACCTTATCAAAAAGAAGTGCAGCTCCTGCAGTACTCCTGGATATTGCACTTGGCCACATTGTGATTTTGATAATATTTCGATTAATTGTTCAGCCCTTACTTTAAGCCTTTACCTTTTAGGTTTTAGTTGAGTGTACAAAGTCTCTGTTGAATGCCCACAATATACACAATGTCTACAATGAATAAGCCACGATGTGTATCCAAGTGGAGCAAATGTTGCCATTTTGATATGATACGGGTTTGAGCTTTTAAATTCTTTGTACAATAAAATGTAGCAAGTAACATTCAGCTCTGTTGCACAAAACGCTATCTGTGGGGCTTTGATAGGATTTCTAATGAATACACAGACAGTTTCAGAAACAAAACTCTTTCCTTCTATCCCTCCCCTGCACCACTTCCTCATGTCTGTTAGGGAAGTGTGATTTTAAGAGGCTTAGAGACTTGCGTAAGGACTAAGTCCCGGCACCGTTGTTTCAGTTTCAATCGCTAGTCAAGAGAGGTCATTAAGGGCCGTGCCTGGATGAAAGAATGAATGCACCTTTCTCTGTCACCAGTCACATGCAGGTCCACACCTGGTGAGTGAGTGACATCTAGTTCGGTTCAGCTTCTTACCGCAGGAGGAGATGCCGACCGGCTGCTGCAGCCTCTGGTCGCCGCCTGGAGGCAGGCTGACGGCCACCGTCATCACGGAGCCCTGGGTGGTTCCCACCAGCAGACAGGGGCTGAGCAGGTTGTCCGTCTTCTTGGGAAAACTCTCACAGAAGTGAAAGGAGGAGATGGCCTCTCGGGATTCTCTTTCTATGCTGGTTACACTTGAACTACGTGAGCGGGTGAATGAGTTATCCTTGGCATCTGGACAACAGGAGTGAGCACAAAAACAATAAGACAATGAGGAAATCACTCGTGTGAAAATGAAGGGGTGAGAAGTTTATAGAAGACTTCTCCATGCAAACAGGAGAATTAGAATTGTTAATGGCAAAAAAAATACACCAAGTCAACACTCATTTAAAAAGGTTAGAGCTCAATCTGCTACTGTGTTTCTAGTGGAGCTCGTCTTTGATCATATTCATGCCTTTCATGGAAAATGACCCAGTGCAGAAAAAAAGTAACACCAAAAAGCTTTTTGACATTGAGATGCTCTTACAGTTTTACATCCAAGCATGCAGTTTTTTTTTGTTTTTTTTTTTAAAAATGGTTCCCAATTTATTTTTCTGCAAATAACTCTGGCAACAACAACAACATTCTCAATGTTAAAAAATATGTAAGATATTCATGGAGTACTAGAGTGACTCCCAAGGAAAGGCTGTTATCAAAAGGAGCAAGAATTATTCAGGTCTCATTACTGTGCTCATGGAGACTGACACACAAGCTTTTACCCTCTTTAAAAAGCTAATGAGCGATCCCAACAGAAACACAAAAACATCTGTGGCACAGAGGGGAAAGCTAAACACACCGCCCGTCATGTGTTTCCCTCACAAGGAAAAACTGTAAACAAGAAAAGCAAGATTTTTAACGACGAGTGCAGTCAAGCCAGTGGAACTTCCTCAGAAAAGGAGAAAGCAATGATTGTGAGAGTATTAGTATCACAGGTCAACCAATTCAAAATAAAAGCCCCAGCAGTGGTGGGGGTTAGTACCAGTTATCCCACTTCAGTCCAAGCCAGACCATGGCTGGTTCACTCACAGGAGTTGGGGGCAGACTGAGTTCTACATACGCCCGCCTTCTGGCTCATCCTGGACGCTCGCTTGCCTTTGTTCATATGATTAAAGCGCTCCTTACATGTGAGAGAGCGCCATCTTGGGAACTTGTCCCCTGCTCACAGTGCACACACAGACAGTGTTCGTCTCAACTTACAGTAGAAGATTGACAGGAGTCTCGCATTCACAGCAACATGCTTCTAGAGAATAAGCAGTACTCTCGCAGAGGTATTTTACAGCTGCGAGCTAAGCAGAACATTCAATTGACAAAAGATGGAGCACCTGTACGAAAATAGAAAGGTTCTTGAAAACTAGAAGTCATTAGTTTTGGCTTACCATTGTCTGCCTTTTGCTCACTAGACGAGCTAATTTTCCGTGACATCTTGGCTGTAACAGAAACAAATACCCCGATTTTATGAGGAGAGAATAATGGCTAAAAATTGACATTTTATGTTGAAGAATCAAAGGTTACTGTAATAAATCACAATCCACTATTAGGTAATCATGAATTAAGTCATTTGTGACATCATTTTTACTGTGCAAATTAGTGGGCAATCAATCAAAACAGGTCTGAATTTTGAGTCATATTAAAGAGTGGTGATGGACATACATACAGTATGGGCTGTACATGGCACAAGAGGAATATTCTGATCCCAAAAACAATTGACTTTGTTTGTTTTTAGGTTTTGGATTGGCAATATTGCTGCTTCTAATGTTCTTGTTTGCTACCAGGATAAAACCCCCAAAAAACTGCCTGTTGTAGTCTATAACCACCCTGAGATAAACCCTGAGAATACAAATGAGGCTGAGAAGCATCACAGACAACCGAAGGGCCTGTAATGTCAAACAAAGCAAGAGGCAGTCAAGAAATAACGTAATTATAATTCAGTGAACATAGTTATGCAAAGAGAGTGGGAGGAAGAGGGAAGAAAAATAAAAAAATAAAAAAATCAGTGAGCAGCCAAACAGTTAACACTGAACTGAAGCCCTGGAATCAGAAACACACACACGCACACACACACACACACACACACGCAAACACACAGCAAGTGTCTACAATAAAAGAGAAATAATTCACTTAACACATGGTTAGACATTAGTATGATAAAGATGGTGGCATGAGGCAGATTTTCTATGCTTTTTGAATCAGTAGAAATAAGAAGTATCCAGTGACGTCTGCCAATTTGTCAAACTGTTTTCAGTCTGCAGTTATCGATGTGACACAATTCTGCATAGAAAATCTGAGGCCTGAAAATTTGAAAGATGTATTGTCATGCACTTGATAAAGAATTCCGATTAATTTCACACATCAACAATGCAACCCCCCCCCCAAAACCATGTGATTAGTAAAAACACATTTCACTTGAATCCACTTCTTTCTTTCTTTTTTTTCTTTCATTGGCACGAGAAGCACAGACTGACGTAGGATCAAGGCACAGTGTGGTTAGAACGCCGTCATTCAGAGAGAAAGAGTGAGTGATCAGAAGAAATACATTTGGGGTGATACAGTACCAAAGTCATTGGCAACCGTCTTGGAAAAGCGTCTGCTTTTGAACTTCACTGGAAATAAGGTTCAGAAAGACAAATCAGATAACTGCAGCCGTCTTTTGAGTGCGTGAATTTAATGGGCTATGCAGCTTCGGACAATACAGTACCCTTCTCTATGAACTTCTGTTTTCGTTCATCGTCTGAATTGCACGGTGAGGTAGATCCTATGTAACAAATAGTGGCAGTTGAAAAAGATGTATTTGAAAATAATAAAAATGATGTTTTTGTTTTTTTTATTGTGTGAAAAGTTGAGGCTTACCTGAAGTAGGTGATTTGCAGCGGTCCTCTGAGGCGTTAGATCCATCATTGTTATCGCAAAGTGCTGTGGGAGTCACACAGGTTGTAATTAAGCATGGCAGAATTAGTCCCACTCTTGAACTACTCTTACTGGAGCTATGTCAACTCCTACAGTACAGTTCTTATGGTGAAGATAATAAAGGGTCACCTATTTGAACAAAGGCAGGGATGGCTACCCATACAGTGCAGTAAATAATCCACGCTTGAGTTCACAAATCCAGTACAAATCTGTTGACTCAAGGTGTCATTGTTTGTGTTTGTGTCTAATAAATCCAGAGGCAGGGTTGACAAAATACACCACCTCATTTTGTTACAAAGCCCTCGAGTCTTAAAATCTCCTCCCAGCTCACTGCTGGTGGTTTAAAAAAAAAAAAAAAAAACGTCAATAGTGAGCTTTGGGGATTTGGGGGGTGCTACAGCAAATTCAGGGAGTATATCTTTATGGGCAAAAGGAAAGGCTTAGAGGAGAGAAATGATACTGGGAGGGGTAAAGTGACACAACATGACTTACTGAAGTGAGGTGAGCGTAGTTTTTTCACAGACTCAGTATACAAGTTAGAAAGTCTGGACATGCAAGACGTCACATTTGGTTTGTCTTTATCAAATCACAGAGAGAGACCAACAGTAAAAAACAGTGAGACAGAAAAATGACAGAAAGTTATAAGTGCAAAAGAGAAGGAAGTCTCAGAGGCTTGCTGCTGGATTCGTTATTTAAATCACACAGTAAAAATATATTCCTCACGTGGCATTCTTACAATTTATATAAACTCAAATTTGCTTTTTTCCTTCTTGAATCCAGCGCCAGGCCACTGAGACTGAAAAGAATGAATGCAAATAGTGAACGACAGGATGATTAGATACAAGAGAAAAAACAAGAAATGACATGACAGAAACAGCTAGGTTAGTACAAGCGAGTTCACAAGGCTTATGAACCGTTTCATCATTCCGACAAATCAAAAGATCATTTCATTACAGCAGAGCAGCAATGATACAGCATCCGCCCTGACTGCGCGGATCACAAACACACTTGCGCCACTATCTTTGCACTGTCCAAATGAACAGATGGAGAATCTGTCAGTGATGCCCCCTGTTGAGGGAGAGCAGCTACTGCAGGGGGCGGTGGTCTCGGCGTGAAGCAACAGCGGCTGCCAAGCGTCAGCTGTGCCTCCACAACCCACCTCTTAACAGTGAGACCGTGTCCAGCGACACAATGGAATATAAGCTAAGTAGCTGATGAATAAAGCATTTATTTCAGGGCGATTAATGTTAGTGAGGGCAGCCAGTGCAGGTGCTCAGCAGTGCTTAGAGAGCCACCACCAGGAAAAATGAGACAGTGGTACAACCGTAGGAGTGCAGCTCACCTCCAGAGGGCTGTCGCACTTTGCGTGGGGAGTGAGGCTGCCTCTGGTGGGGGTCAGACGGGCTGTAGAGCTCCGATGTGCCCATGTTGAGGAGGAGAGTTTTCTGGAGGTAGTCCACCACAGCCAGACCGTTACTGTTTCCAAACACCACACTGAAACACAGAGGGGGGGGTGATGAAGGATCCAGTGAAAATTAGGATTCAGATGCTATTTTTGCTCCTTACTGCAAACAACAATACAGGCTTTCGAAGCTCCCAGTCAGAAATTTCAACTGGAAACACCCCCTGTAGTTACATTTCAGACTCAGAAAGTCAGAAGAAGTTCACCAACCCCAACTTTGAAATCCAAGATGGCTGCTCTGTGCATCAACAGAAGTGAAAGCTGTAGTAATACACTGTTTAATAGCACTTCTGTCTTATTTGTGTCTCATTAAATCAATCATACGCACAGTACTGTCCGACCTCTATCTGTGGACATGTTGCTATGGTGTTTGTATGCACCAAATACAGAGTAATGCAAGCAACAACAATAAGAAGAAACATAATTCAAGTGTGACATCATTCCTAACTCCGACATCTGAGGTAAATGGAGCGCAGCATTACTTACAGCTGCACTATATAAATGTTTGGTTCCTGCCTTCTGCGTGACAGGATGCAATTAAAATTCCTTGATACACTCAAATTTAGCAGAAAAAAAAAAAAAAAACAGCTACTGGACAGGCATAACCACCACTCTCAGGACAAGTGTGGGCATAAAGTGATGTGATCTCCTGCCAAAATATCAAGTGTGCTGGCTGTAGATACTCACAGGCCGTAGGAGGAGTTGATAGCCAGGCTGGTGATCTGCTGAGGTGGCTCCCCGCTCACCCACACCAGCTGGATCACCAGCTCCACCTGGTAGCCCGGAGACTGCTTCAGCGGGGAGCTCCGCACCCTGCATCAAACACACAGCGGGATGAGACAGCGGGACGCGCTTTACGCCTGGAATGAATTATCACCTTTTGCGTAAGCCACACTGACAGCATCATCATTTTTTATTATTGTTATTCCCCCTCTCACCCTTTCGCTGTCAAAACATTTTCATCATTTTTAATATTTTTGTAAAGAGTAAGACTTTCCCCCTGGTGTACTGATGTGGAGGTTTTGAGAAGTATTGAGCAGATAACTGAAAGGAGTGAATGGATGACTACATCGCTTTAATGACCTTTTTGTTTCGTTTTTTTTGTTCCGCTAAGTGACAACCTGATTCACAATGGCATCAATAGCTCAGCTCAATTAAATAAAAAAAAAAAAGAACAAGACAGCATTATTGTCCATACTGCAGGCATGGTATATTGTGCCGGGGTCCGTCAGAGGAGTTGCTGCCTGTGGAGGGCTGAGTGGGCGGTTCAGTCTCCTGAGGGCTGGAGGAAGCTCCCGGGGTTGGCAGGGTCGGAGTCTGCTCCCCCCCTGGATCAGGAGAGTCCACTTCGCTAAACTCGCACTGCATCCGCACCTCCAGGAGCTTCACACACACAAGATGATTTGTCACAAAAGGGCTCAACCTCTCAAAACACAGGTTCATGCATGTACAGTATCTCCTCTAGCTTTGGATGAAATAATAGGATCGGCCTGAACTGTCTAACTGTCCCAAAAAGTTTAATATTGAAGATTTTTAAGATGTTTATGACGACACACCGCCGTGGACAGTGATGTTTACCCACCTGCACATCTTCAGTGGTGACCTCTTGCTTGCTGAACCTGTAGACGATGACATGGGCGGACACTCCCGCCACACAGAGCATCCTGCTCTCGGGGCACCAGGACAGAGTCTGGATGGCAAACGGGTCCTCTTCTACTATATCTGTACTTGGCTTCTCCTCCTTACCACGAGCCCTCTCAAACACCTTGGCAGTCTTTAGCTTGTACAGCACTTGAAGCATGACTGTGAGAGGAGTGAGGAAAAAGAAGGATATGATGATCCTTGACCTACAGCTGCAGCTAATGTATCCATGGTAGCAGCAACTACAGTTCCAGAGGGCATTAAGTGCACTATAGCGGTGCCACCAAGATCAGGAGTGTGAATTTGGCTAAGCATTAATAATCTCTCAAAACAGTGTCATGAAGGGGAAACGCTCATTTATGCAGATGACACTGGAGTGTGAGCACATGCTAAAACAGCACAGCCAGCTGAAGAGGAATGACAAATATTTAGGAGGCAGATTAACAGTGATAATGAAAAACAACTTGGTGCGACATAATTCTTTTTTCATGTACCAACTTGGAATGATAAACAGTCACTGACAGCTACTTTATTTTCAAATTGTCTATAAATAATATTGCTTGGGGTTTTTATGCAGACTATACATAATATACATACACAATAGACATATAACAATAATACCCCAAGCAATACTATCAATAGACAATTTGAAAATAAAGTAGCTTATAACTTAACATACAACATAATAACATGAAAAGGAAATGTGCAGTATGACAGCATGGATAGTACGGTAACTGTTACCTGCAATGTAACTGGAACTATTCTCTAAACTAAATCGAAATTTTCTGGTGCGCCAAATACTCTCTGTATTGCTGTTTACATTGTACCCAACAACAACATACACAAAACAAAACTACTCACATGCAGAGGCGTCCCAGAATTTGATCGACCCATCAGCATGTCTGTTGAAACGGAAGAGAAAACATTGAAAACGAACATAGCATATTTGCATGCATGGGATTCAAAGTTGTGCATTCATCAAAGATTAATTAATCACTAACCCTGTGATTATGATCTCTGGGTAACTCTGTGTGCCTTGGCCCCAGTTTCCCCCACTGATGGGCCATTCCTGTGAAAATAAGAACAACACTTTAAATTATAAAAAGCAGTAATATTGCCCCTGTGGGGATTTATTTATTCATTTATTGCCAATAAAAACTATGCTTCTCCCTGCAGCGGGGCGTAGATCAGGGCAGGGGTATAAAACCATTTGAGTGTTCCTGGGATTTTAATTCCCAGTAATTTACCTTCTTGCTGTAACCTTGTCTCTTTTGCCGACTGCCGACGGAGTAAAGTGCGGGAATAAGTTCAGCAGGACAGTCGGCAAAGTACTCGCAGCAGGTCACTGGTGACTCATGGACAGTCAGGGGATATGGATTCTCAAATATTGGGTACCTGTGAGGAAAATGTGCCAGAGGTTAGATTTGAAAATAAGACGTCGTTATCATATAATCATGTCTGTCAACTTGAGATGCAAATGACAATCTTACTGCCAATCACTGCCAATGACCTTAAAATTGTAATTTTACATTTTTTTTAATATTTTTATTATAATTTTACAGGTTTTCACATTGAAATTTAATGTTAACATCAAAAAGTCTATCACACAGTCTGGAATTGTCCCCTCAAAATGAATAAACTACAGCAACTTGGAAAGCAATTGCAGCACCAACATATAAGCTATGTATGTTTCTGCTTCAGTGTTTCTCAGCTGGTTTCTTAAACTCATGTGTGACTTTCAAAACAACAACAGTGTGCTGGGAGGACATTTGTGGATTTGGGGCCACGACTAGGAGCCATAACCAAACTGAGGAGTGGATTTACTGGATGAAATGTTTAAATACACCCACTTCCAGTTCAATGCAATGCAAGAAATATAAATATTAACACTTTCTGGGAAGAGAAAAGGCTGAGATTTGAAATTAAAATGCCAGTTCCAGAATATATGTGCATATATGCATAATATGGTAAAACGCAGTAGGAATCACCAGGGGGAAAAAGTACTCAACATTAAGATTAAAGTAAAAAGGAACATAATGCTTTATCGTAAAAGAAATCCCTTTGGGATAATGAAGATAAATTTAGACATTTTACTTTTCATGGGACCTTTAAAGAACAAGAGTAGGTCAAAAACAGACATTAAAGACTGTGACAGCTCTTATGTTTTCTATAAGCAACTGTCACAACAGAAGCAATGGATCATGACTAATATTTAAAGTCTGAAAAGTTGGAATCACACATTTCTGACTGAAGTGATATATAGTTAATATAGTTAAATAATTAGCAGGATTTCATGTACACTGTCTATTAAAATATTAATATGGCGTGATTGCTGTACAAAACCAATATTCTTTAATGCATACTAAAAATACTCAAACTAAACTATATTTAGAAAGTGCAATAATTACCCAATCTGTCCAAGGTCTATTACAACTAAATCCTTCTCGAGCAGGACCACCACAGCATAAGGCTCCTGAAAGTCTGGCAAACACAAGAGCACGAAATGAACAGGGATGATGACGTAATCATTACGTGAGCTAATACAGCTTCTGAGACAAAGGAACACAACCCGTCGTGAGCCGAGCGTTACAGCTCACCATTTGGATATGGAGTTTCACACAGTGTTAGGAAATCTACGATGGGGTAGTCCATCTCGAGGACGGCAGTGCTCTTTCCGTGCATCACAGTCAGACAGGCTCTCCTCCCCACCGTGTCGTAAGACAGACCTCCAGACAGCACCATGAATGGGTCCCTGAGCCCAGAAGACACACACGAACCTTTTAATTGTTTATTCTTCTCAGTTCCGTTTGTTGTGAAGGTGAAAAGCTACTTGGTGTAATCTGTGTAAATGTGTGAAGAGGGACATCAAAGGTTTATGGCTGTACTTCCTCCGGAGATGATTTGGCCCCATTTCAAGAGCATCCATGATGGGAGGAGCCTACTTTTTAATTATAATGACAGTTATATTAATCCCTGTCCTCTTATACCTGAGGAAAAAAAATGTGAGGGATAATTAGATCAGTTTCAGTGAAACTGTAAATTTTTACGACATGTTCTTATGGGAGGGGTTGGTCTTTTTACTTTGTGACCTTGACAGAAAAAGTTTTTCCTCTTCAGATGATAATAATTGTGTTAATAGTGATCAAAATATAAAAGTCATTTATTTAATGATCGCAACAAGACAAATCCTACGAGAATATAAAAAAAGAATTTGACAGGGACTGTCACGCTCAACAGGCAGGCCTGGCCTGTAAGATATAGTATACGCTTTTGTGATAGAAAAACAGGAAAGGCCACTTTGAGTACAGGATATGGATTCAAACCAGAGTCAGTTAAGACACAGGATGGGTGGGGAGTTGCTACCAACACACTTACCCAGCCCTCGTTGTTTTGTACTCCACCTTCAGGATAGGCTTGCATGGTTCTGGCTTCTTTCCATCCTTAGGCTGCTTTCCTAGTGGAGGTCAAATGGCAAAAATGCATTCAGCTTAAATTAATTTGCAATACATACGGTGTGGTGCACACACATGCTGCCACCATCCATCTCTCTTTTTTAGAAGTTACACCTCTAACAGTGGACGGCCTTCAGGCTGTAATATGAGACATAGGTGGCCTTTAATCAACATGCCTGTGTGTGTGTGTGTGTATGTGTGTGTGTGTGTATGAACAACACAACTGTGTGTATACAACAGCTCTAACCATGTGGTGTGATGATCTGTGCAGGCTTGGCTGGAGCTCGTACATTCCATGTGGTCAGGGTGCCATCTGAGTGGCTGCAAACAAACTGTTTGCCCTCATGGTGCCAGGCGACGGAGTGGATCGCCTGAAACACACGCAGCAGCAGCAGCATCATTAGAGTGTGATAAATAAAGTGCACATAAACTTAACAGCTGTGCAATGATGAATGAGAAGATTTGCAGCAGCTATGAGTGCAACATGTTTAAAAGGTAGAGACTGGTTTTAAAAATGTTCTTGTCTTTAAAAAATCCCATGAAAAGACCAAAACAGGTTCCTCTCTCAAAGCTTTGTCTTCCTCCGCCTGTCCATGGCTCTAAACCTCAAGCTCAGTCATTCCTACTGAAGACGAACATTTTTAAATATATACCTCCATCTTTAAAAAGACTAAATAATTTCTTAAAACAGCTGGAATCTGTAGTTTTTAGCAAAAGCGACTGAAACAGAAGTAAACAGTTTATCTGTTGGGGACTATTTTCAGATGTGGATTAATACTTATTTGGTGCTCTACAGAGTATCTATGGCAGCATGACGGTGCCTACGGGATTGAATCAAAATAAACTACAGGTCCCAGGTTCATGGTAATGAAGTAACATGTCACCCAGTGCAACAGTGTGGCTCAATAATGTGTCTCTAATAGTTTTTGATAGAACAAACAGAAATAAGACAGATCAGGTTTTTCCTATACAGTGAATGTTTGTTCGAAGGATTATTTCATTGTTGTTATCTTTCCATGGGATTTGTTCACAGTTAGAAAAATGTACAATATCACCAGACTTTAGCTTCTAATGTGCTGAAATCATTTTAATGCTTTGGAGAAAATACTTCTCATCTTCTTGAAGCAGAAAAAGAACTTGATCAAATAATTTGACAAAACTTTGACTTTGTTTCACTTCATGATATTAACACAATCATCTACAGAACTGTTTGATTTTACTTTGCGTGTTCTACTGGATATCATCGTAATTCCAGTATGTACAGTACTTGAATAACAAATACAAACATAGCTTTTCCTTCACTATATAATCTCTGATGTTATCCAGTGTGGAAGCTCCTGAGACAGAATCTCAACAGGACCAGAGGAACAGCTATTTCAGGTTTCATGACAAATCACTGGAGAGCCTGTGTCCTCTCATATGTGAAGTGACAGATTATGCAAAAACCTAACAAGACCAAACATGTTTTTGAGACAACCATGAACAGACTTACAAGCTTCCTCACAAGAACTGGAGCGGAGAGAAAAGAAATGTCTTACCTCATCATAATTATAGCGGTAGTCAGCTTTTTTGCACTTCAAATCCCACAACACCACCACCCCACACTCAAATCCAATCAGAAGCTGTAAGAACAAGAGAAGCAAAACACGGGTCAGCTGATTGCTGTGAAATCACACTCCGCTCATATACCTGAGCCTGGAGCTAACATGACTGCGTCACCACTGGCTGTGATGTTCAAAATAAGGTCCTGTAATTTATCATTAATCATTAATCATCACATTTCTTTGATAGATCTGTGTAATTCTTGAACTATAGAGGAAATACGCTCATTTCTGACACACAGTAAGTACCAACTCGTTTAACGACTCATTATGTATACCAGACAATTCTACAGTAGTTGTAATTGTTTAGTCTTCTCAACCCAAGTGGTTGGGGCAGACGGCCGCCCACCCTCAGTCTGGGTCTGTTGGAGGTTTCTTCCTGGTAAAAGGGAGTTTTACAAAGCTGCTCATTGTGGGGACTGTTGGGTTTTGTCTCTATAATACTGTGAGGTGTTGACCTTACCCTGTAAAGAGACAGTGTTTGTTATGATGATGTGACGCTATAAAAATACATTTGAATTGAACTGTGTATGTTTTACATGCAGTATTTGATTTCCAAAAGAATTTCCTTGAAAGCACAGCTTCATTGTTAACGACTGAAATAAGTGAGTAAATATCAATTATTGGAAATAGTATCTACCAAATGTATTGTATTGTAAGCCTGCCTGTAATTCACAATTACACTTTTTTCCCTGTTTCACGTTCTTTAACCGTGGCGACTTCCCTTGCTTACAAGACTTAACGTTTGCAATGAATTGTTGGCGTATTGCATCCACTGATGCTCTTAAATTAAAACAGCATCTCCACCTCTTCTGTCATGATTTCCTCGGTGTGGAGCACCGTGGAGAGAAACCTTCTCCCCTTGATTCTGACACCAAAATCTGATGTTTACTATTGACATTTTAATTAGCTGAAAATGTTCTGCTATCAGTCTCCATTGTAACTGCACAAGCCGTATTGACATTGTGTCGTCTGCACCGAAGCAGTTATCCACAGGAAAGAGAAGAACAGCATGTTTTTTTTCTAAATGGTGCAGGTGGGGTAGAAATATATCTCTTCTTCTGTACAGGCTATGTTTTGCTGTGTAAACTATCAGTTTACCTTTCCCTCATCCATGGGGTTATCACTGATGTGCACGACAGGCCCTGGGTGTGTCTTGGTGGATCTGTGCAGGTTTTAAAGAGAAGAGACAGAAGAAAAATGACACAGTGTGTGTGTAAATTTAACAAAATTGGGGTTGTGTGGATGAATATGATGAATACCTGATGAGTAAAATGCATCTGCTACATGTTGTCTTACAGATAAATTCTAGCTTTTAGAAGGAGAGGGAGATAGGGAGGCAATTAGGGAAGATATTCGAAAAAAAGAGAGAAGCCAGAATCTTTGCTTATAAGATGAAAATGTGCATCGGTGCACCAGAAAAAGAGACATGACATATGAGAGAGACAAACAGAGAGGGAGAGCAGGGTCACATGAGGGTCTGTGAGAGATTATAGTATGTGGAGACAGCATCACCGTGGCAACAGAGCAAAGGGGCACGGAGGAAGTGAAGGTCTGGCCTAAAGAAAGTGTTGCTGCCTCTGAATGTGGTCTGGCTCCAGTAGCTAATGATCTCATTGCTGCTGATGAGTCGATACAGTCAGAGATGTAGAAGTGAATAAAAGTCACGGACGGACTGGAACATGAACTCCAGCCGGTAACCACCACAATCAATATAAAGAAGTGTTTTAATATACAATAATTATAATAAATTCATGTATACAGTGTGTTTTCTTGTATTAAAGATTATTTTCATTTTAAACATCTTCTCACACATGGACTTTTACTCAGTAAAGAAAGAAGATAAACCCTATTTTACTCAAACAATAATGAGTATAAGCTGAGTTTAGTGAGGTCAGCTTCCACTCTGATCATTAAAACTTGTTGTTGTTCCCGTCCACTGCAGGAGACCTCGAATGTGAATCCACAAGTTCGCAGAAACTACAAACTACAAAGCAGAAAGTGTCTACACTACACGTTTCTGTCAGAGAGCGGACGACTCGACTTCTACAAAGAAAAGACAGAATATTATGTTTTAAATTCCACACTATAGCCAAGAGCTTGCCCCCCCCCCTCCCTTAACTCATTTTCACAGTCAGACAGGCAAAATCATTTTCTATCTCCACTGTCTGTTTCTCAGACATTTATCTCAGCTGATGGCATACTTTGCTGCTCTGACACTTTCAACTCCCAGATCTAAAACAGCAATTTATCAGATTTCACCAGCAGCCACACACACAAACAGCTTTATACTCCACTTCCAATTTTAGCTGCCAGTCACTCGCTCAAATTATTTTCTATAGTTGACTGATGGCTGCACTGGAGAAGTTACTCACAAAGAGCAACTTCTACGGGCTTAAGTTTGAATTTTTCCTCAAAAAGAAAATGATCACATAAACATGTTCAGTTCCATTTCATGCACAGAATCAAGTGCTGCGATGCTATTATAACCAAGACGTGTGTGTGTGTGTGTGTGTGTGTGTGTGTGTGTGTATTGGGCGATTTTATCCACTGAAATGTATTTTAACCTGCATGGGGCACCTGCCAAGTTTTATCTGAACATTGCAGGATGTTGTGGCACAACATTTACAGGTGCACAGGATGAGATGTAAAAATTCAATTGTGATCCTTAGCAGTGGGTGTTTACGTGCGGGAGTGGGTGACACAGGAGAAGTCACTGGGGTTATCAAGTGGGCACTTCCTATCACAGATGTGCCCGTTAAATCGGGCAGCAAACACCTCCAGAAGTCCCGACAGCAAGTTCTGGCATGGCACAATCACCACCTCCACGCCGCCCTCACACTGATCAGAGCTACAGTATTCTCAGCTCGCAGGACGAACTCTATCTGCAAACTCAGGCCTTCCACATCCCTGTGCATTTTCCTGGTTGAGTGTCAAAAGCGCAAGTGCACGGAGACGATATGCAAATGGCCAACGAGCAACGGGGGAGGAAAGAGAAAGAGAGTTGTGAAATACAGACTCACAGTTCGATGGCTTTGTTCCACATGATGACGTAGCCTGAGAGAGTGAAGGACTCCACGTTGACGATGTGGATGTTTCCTCTTTCTGTGCCGATGTAAAGCCATTTGCTCTGGAAGGGCAGGTGGCAGTACGTGATCCTGCAGGAGGAGATCAGGATGCATCACAACACAGGCTTTTCATTATCTCATGACTCAGTCTTATCAAAGAGTCACCCTCGTCCCTCATCATGCCAGTCCAACTGGAAGGAGTAGCAAGCAGCTAAGATTTAATTACAAAGGCCTTGCTCTGTGTCACACTAATGAAGCTAGACTATATATAGAGCAATGAGGAGGAATAGCAGAGTAAATACTGCTGTCTTTTCTCAAGTGGTGGGAAGAAACATGAAGTCATACACATTCACAGAGCCAAACGGACACAGATGATGTGAACCGTTTTACTGTGTTTGTTTATCCGACCACACAGATTATATCATCAGTGATTCGTCAGGTGGCGTCTCTTGTTGACTGGATGTGGAGAATTCCCCTTAAAAAATTTTTTTGACGAAAATATTCTTGGCTGGATTCTCTAGATTACAGAAAAAGATGACGGAACTAATTTAATTCATTAAAGCTGCATTGATTGACTTTGTTGAAGACGCGAGGCCCGAGAGACACATTAAAAACGGGTGATTTGACTTCAAATCAATATCACAATTACTTCAAACTTTTACCTCAGTTATGATTAATGAATGATTACTTTGCAACTTATCGGTCTCCCTATTTATTTAATTTTTTGATCGTGTTCCAAGTGATTAAACTAATTGGAGACGGTTCACAAACACATGCATTTGAGGAAGTCTTTACCAAACTGACCGACAATAGCAAGATTAAGTGGTGAGAGATTCTAAATGTCAGTTTTGGTACTTTTGCGGTTTATTGCCCAGCCCTAACATCTCTGACACGTTGACACCATACAGAGTTGTTATGTTGACAGAGAGAGAACCATATAAGCATAAGCATTCATTTGAAGTCGTGCCGCTGACCACCTGGACTCATCAGGTTCATGTTTATCTTCACAGCCCTTTTAACCCTGTTTTGGTCCCTGCAGGTAGCATACAGTACATTTACAGTGGTATCTAACGTGCCCTCATACTGGCATTTCATTTACCCTTTCTGCTCATAGGTTGTTGTTTTTTTTTTGCAAAGCACATAAGTGCTACATAAATATCAACCATCACTGTCTGCTGCTGGAAACATGGCCGATTAGCACAGGATTTTCAGGCCAGAAAGCCAAAACAATTAGCTAAAAGAAGCTGAAAGCTCTGAGGAACGAAGAACACTGTTAATAACAAATAAAACTACCGATAAAATTGTACAATGTACATTGATAAATCCAGTTGGAAGCCTCTGGTATTTCACCTTGACCACAGGAATCCACATTTCCTGTCTGGTTAAAAATAAAAGGGAAAAACCCCAGGTGTTGCGGAATCACAAGACAACACTGCTGCATCATTTTTTCAGAGCTTTGACGACAACAGAACAGCTAATTATACAGTGCGAAGCATGTGGCCAGCTGTGAGGGCTGTTTCCAAGTTGTGTTCACAGAGAGACAGATGCAGCATCACTGCAAACAGGGAAGCAGTAAGAAGAACAGGTTACTGTACCTCTCCCTGTTGAACTTGAGAGAATGCAGGATAGCTGGGATTTTTTGCCTCAGGTTCCACAGGTGGATGCTGTCGTCAGCTAAGGCACTCACCAGCGCCCCCTGTGGGGAGGGTCAGAAGCAGGCGGGTTATCAGCATGCACATAACATCTGGTGTTGTAGTATGGGCTGCTTTAATGGTTCTATAATAAGCACATAACTACAAGGGTATTACAAAGGTATTTGGGTCACAAAACTAGCATTACTGTTTAATCAATGTGTTCGCTAAGAGCACAGCTTGTAGTGATTCATGGCCTATAAACACTGAATAAGCACCAGTGTCTGCGGTGCCTGCCAGGGGGAACATGGAGAGACAGATGCAGGAGACTGACAAGGAGAGAACGGGTGAGGAGGAGGAGAAGGAGGAGAAGGAGAGACAACCAAACAAGAAAACCGGGGGACAGGTAGTGACAACAAACCTCGTTGATCAGGAACTGGAGCTGGATGACAGCAGCGCCGCTCTCATGCTGACAGTAGCACTCCACACCGGCGCGACCGAAGCTAAAAGGAGGCTCAGTCAAAGAAAACTGGACAGTTGCCAGTGAAGATCGTGCAGAAATGTGTGTGTGTGTGTGTGTGTGTGTGTGGGGTGGGGGGGGGCTTTCAAACATACTGCAGAATAAATGTATGTCATGAATGTATTTCAAATCGACAACATACAGAAAGGTTTTTCCTTTTTATGATGAAATGTAACTTGGCATTTTCAGTTTACATTCCTAAACAGCCACTGGCAAGAATGTGAAACAAACCAAACCAGCAAGTTATAAATAAAATCAGTGGGCTCTGTCTGCCTTATTTATTCACATGCGTCAGCCAGTATGACGGCAGCGTGATTAACATAACTCTAACCTCTCTCTATTAGACTGTTGAGTTCAGGTCAGAGGACCCCCCCCCCCCGCCTAAATCTATCCATTCAAAAACAGCCAGCTCACCCACTCAGCCACCAGTAGATGTCGGGCTTCAATCTGAACCAAAAATATTGCATGAATGGCAAACAGCAGAATGTGGCCACAGTGGAGCACCGCCACGTAGGCACCAGGACTCTAATCCCACGAAAACCTCCAAATGCTTTCACAAGGCAGCACAGAAATGAGAAGCACAGAGAAGCAGTGGTTGTCTATTTCAACCGGCCTGTAATCACTTTCACAGAGAGTATGTGCACAAAGGAAGAAGGAAGCAGCACAAGATCTAATCATAGAGGCCGATCTCTAGAAAGACAGACAGGCCACAGGGACAAAAACATGCACTGCTCCTCATACTTTTAATGTGATCATGATGAAGGAAAGCTAACAAAGGCAGACAGCTGTGCTCCACTATCTGTGTCCATTTTGAGCTGACACAGCATAATGTCTCAACAGGATTACACAAAGCTGTGATCAAACAATCCCTCAGTGTCTTAAACAAACTAAGGTGGGGTTGCAGGAGTCCGTTTCATAACGGACATCAGCAGTGGGCATCGCTTCTGCAGGAGGATGGAGGCAAACACAGACTTTGAGACTTTTAAGCCGGCGCCAGTCGAAGGCTGTTGGCAACTGAACTCACATTCACCCATGACCTTTCAGTCTAGTTTCCTAGCTCCTGGCCCCGCAAGTTCTCTACAACATTTGTCAGAATTATTAACGGATATCATGTCTCCACAGGTCCGCGATGGAGGAGGACGAGTCATTAAGTCTGTTTCATAGCCTCTGGTTGTGCATAAATAAGAACAGTGCAGAAGTCTAAAGAGCAAAAATGTTAATATGCAACACTGTTATGTATTCATTTCGCTAACATCGAGTAGGAGCACTTCAACCGCCTTATTACTGATGATGCAAGGTACCGTTACAGCCTGTTTACTCATCAGTGTACGTAAATGTAAAGGCTTCTAGAGTCTGAACAATGTAGGTTAATGGCGCTGCTGAGACGAGCTACTTTCTACACTAACAGGAAATTACTAAGATGTTTATCAAAACAACTGTGACAAGCAAATAGAGCATTCTGTTGAAACTTCCTTCTGCGACTCATGACCAAAACCTTTACTATCACATAAGATACAGGTACAAAACTACTTGTGTCTGTCAGCTGAGACTACTGACAACAATACACGCTTCTCTTCAAGTCATTTCATTAGTTTATAAAACACACAGTTCTGGGATAGTGTGAGCACAGGAAGCTGAGTCACACCACTCAACTGTGACTCTGCATGTAAGAAAACATCTTGTGGTGTGGGTAACAAAAAGTCAAAAACTTTTTGTCATGTCATCATCTGTTGGTCATATGATTGGACCTGAAACAATAAGTCAACCAGATAATCACTAGAACATTTAACGGGAAAGTCATTTTCAAGGAAAAATGCCAAATGTTCATTGGTTCCACTTTTTCAAATGTGAAGATTCGCTGTTTTCTGTTTTCCACAATCATAAACTGAATAACTTTAGATAAAACAAGCAATTCGAATACATCAATCTGTAATCTGGGAAAATGCTTTTCTTTTCTTTTTTTGACTATTTTCTAATATTTTATAGATCAAACAATTTTTGAGAATTTAGAAAATCATGTTGATTCATAATATAATATATAATAACACATCAGTGATATTGAAAATATCAGTTATTTGCAGCCCTACATTCCATGTGTAAGATGCAATATGTATCATCCATAACCAATATTGAACATGCTGCTCTCTCAATCCTTACAGGGATTTCCGCTTTGTTCCTAAGCCTTTGACACATCACACACTTAAGTCACACACCTTGAACATCGACACTTCCCCATTTGGTAAACCACTGCGGTTCACCACAGCATTTCAACAGCAGCACAGTTTCATGTGAAGTCAAGTGATAATCATCAGGGCAGGAAGTCGTCTTAATCATGCTGCCCAACAAATGAAAAACAAAAAATGTTCTCTGCAGCCGCTCACAAAGTCTACGTTAAGAACTGTTATTGCCAGATGAAGAAGAGGAAGTTCCTCTGAATTGGAAGCTCATCAAAGCAAACTACTGACTTCCAGCATCAACAGTCAGTTGCAGGACTTACTAAAACTGAGCTAAAAACACAAACTCATGGAATATTTTCAATTTTGCACAAACTTGGACAACATTTAATTGACAAATTAAAGTATGCAAGAACAAAAAGTTTAAAAAATTTTACCGACAACACTTGCTTCCAAGTTATTTTTAAATTTGCCTTGTAATGGCCAACATTTAAGGGGGCACATGCGTTGGAAAGAGCAGGACACTGTCTACAGTAACACACTGATTAAAACACTGTAGAGACAGATCTTGTAAAAGCAGACATTTATTGCTTGTAGACACCTCATTGAGCTTATGTCTACTGAGCTGTGGCAGCGTTTCCAAACTCCAGGGGCAATGAGGTGGATCGATACAGCCTGTCTTTTGATAAATGGACCAATTGCCTGAATGACAGTAATCCCATCAGCTCCACCTTGCACATTAGGACAACATGGAAGCAGTGTGTGTTCTCTGGGAGTCGCCCAGTAAACACAGCGCTCTCTTAATCTGGAGAGTGGATAAAGACGAGGATGGAGCCACTTCTAATGAAAACCTAAATAAAGCAGATGGGCCTCCCAAGCAGGATATCAGCACAAAGGGAAACCCTGTGTTTATACACAAATAGGCCAAACCAGAAGACAAGTTGTAAACAGCACAACCTGGCTACGAACACACTATCACATGCAGCATTTAATAGTGTAGAAATCCAGGGGCAGTTTTGTTGCTGTGACTCATGGAAGCTGCTTGGTTTGCTGTAAAAACAAATTCTTACCCATGAATACAAACAAATACAAAACTGACTCCCAACTGCCCAAGGGGCCACCGAACACAGTAGCAGCTTGATTGTGTGTGTGTGTGTGTGTGTGTGTGTTGTGCAAGTCAAGTGATGTTTACAGCACATATGAAATGGCATCCTGGCACACACTGGGCAGCACAGTTGATGAGGTTGGCTCCTCGGCATATGGCAGAGGAGCTGTTCATGCTACTGCAGAGATACCGCTAATGAGCCTGGGTGCTCCAGGAGGACGAGACTGCTGGCTGCACAGAAACACATCCTCGCTAGCTGTCTACCTCTGAGCCCGTCCGCTTCCCCTCTGTGTGGTGTGGATTTTATTTTTGTTGTGCTGGATGACAGGAGGCAAACACAGGTCACTTACTGTGTGAATTCCCCATATTCTGTGGAATGCTGAAGGGCGGCCTGGTCACATGATGTGTGAAGAGAGGATGCCAGGAAGTTAGACATGGGTCCAGTGTGTGTTGTTATGTTTGCATTGTGTGTGTGTGTGTGTGTGTTTGCATGAAGCAGAGGAGGATGTTAAGAAGAAGAAAAAAAAAAAGAGAACAGTGGAATCATTCAAGCTTTACTTTCCTTGTGTGGCTCTTTTCATTTTCATTTTCCTGTGAAAAAAAAAAAAAAAAGGATACAGCCTCAAAGCTTCAGTCTGAGTCCCAATGGCCAAGATTTTCTGCACGGGGTCAAAAGCCATTGACGATGGTTGATATGGGAAGCCATGACGCACAGTCTGCGGAAAAGAGCAGAATTTGTATTAGACCTCCAGTCTGCTAATCAATCATCTGCTGCACAGTCAAGCTGGCTTTAGTGGAGAAAAAACATTATCATAATCTCCTCGAAACGTAATCCATCAATGTGGAAATTTAGCCTCATTATCAAAATAAATTAGATAAAGCATAAACATTAGCGCAAATGGGGACTGGGATATTTTTCTGATATCCGCCTTGTGTGCAGCCTCAATCCTGTAAAACATCAGTGATAAACTCATTTTATCCATCCAAAGCCTTACATTTGCAGCCTTGGACTGCACTTCCTTGCCAGGATTTTACAGTGCCACCGCCACCAAAACATTATCATTATCAGGCATCTATAACTCAATTGTTCCGGATTGGAAACGTTGCCCAGCCATCCATGAGCTGTGTACAGCTTGCAGCAGGATTATGTAACAGGTAATGCCATGGCCCTGTGACCTGGGGGACCTGACCTGTTCTGCTCCCAGCTGGGGCAGAAGCAGGTGGGCGGGCTCTCCAAGATATTCAACACATTTCACGCATGCGAAGCCTTTGCAGCTAGAACGACCACGCTAGATTATCAACCCGTCGATGACTAAAAATGACTTCACCATGTGAAATCATGTGTGGCAAACAGTGAAGCCTATAGCTTCACATTTTACTAAATCTGTCTTAACACAACACCCATGTGCTGATGTGTACACTGAAGTCGATCACTAATCATTCCATCTGTCTGTACTGGTCCTGAAGAGATCCAGTCTTCACATGATTTTAATGTCAGCGATGGGAGACAAAATCCTCAGTCCTTGTTGGATGTACAAATGCATGCGAGTTAATCTGAAGCTAATATAAGGCTTCAGTCTGACCTGGACATGGGAGGCTGATATTGTACTGACTTTTTGGTACCAAACTGATTATTTCTTACAGTCTAAAAGGACTGTAACGTTAAAAGAAAACCCACTTGATTTGTCTAACTCATATATTAGCCTCATATTAGCTTCAGCTGCACTAAATGCATTTTTACACATGGTGGAAGAAGTACTCAGATCCTTCACTTAAGTAAAAGCACAATACAATAATGTAAAAATGCTCCATTACGAGTAAAGGTCTTACATGGAAGTTAAAGCACATGAGTTGTAGAGGAGCAGAAATATAAAGTTGCATGCAAAGGAAATACTCAAATAAAGTACCAGTGCCTCATAATTGTACTTAAGTAAAGTGCTTGAGTAAATGTACTTTGTTACACAGAACAACATTGCATTAACATTAAAATCCTGTTCCTGGACTGGAGCTCCTCAAGGCCAGAATGGACAGGAAGAGTTATTACAGCAACCAAAAACTCCTCTAATGTACACTGGAGCATGTGAGTACTGTACAGAGGTAGACTTAAAAACATGTCAACCCATCCTTTAACTCTAAATCCCTTCTGTGACAAACTGCAGGGAGCTGATCAGGTTACACTGATGAGGAAAAAACTATGACTTGAGGCGACGACTCAGTGCAAGGCAAACAGCCATGGATGGAGCTAATGGCAGTCTGGATACAGCCATGGGAAACAGCCAAGCAGGTTAAATATCATCCCTTGTTAATGTCACTGTAGCTATAACAAGTACTTTAATGCTTGGAGTACAATTCTGTTGTGTTTTAGCTGCTATATGAGTTCCCTCATGTCATTATACATCCCAATGAGCAGTGCAGAAAGAGAAGAAGAATGAAAACAACGCCAGTGTTTGGTCACGCCGCTGTCATCTGACTGTCAGTGTGCGAAAACAGTCCGGTAATGTTAGCTGCTATTAACGGAAACCCACCTTGCAAAGCTGAAAATGCTCCGACTGGAGTGTCTCCTGAACGGCATCGTTTTCCCTGGGAGTACCCGGCTGAGCAGAGGCGGAGGAGGACGAAGACGCCGCTGTCAAGCCGTCCAGCACCTTCCTAATGTTAAACTTCTTCATTTTCCTCCGGTACAGACGCGACGGTTGAAAAAACAGATCAAGCCAGCTACCATAAATTGGATAGAGAGAGGGTAGCTGCTAGCTAGTTAGCCGAAATAACGCACAGTTAATATCTTTCTGTATACATCTCACATGTTACGGAGGGTGTTGCCAGCGCACTCTCCAAAAGCACCCGAGTCACGAACATGGATTTAGCGAGTCCTTTCCGATATAAGTGTTAATCCGCCATTTATGTGGCCAGCTTTGGCGTTATTCGATCGGGATCAATCGTTTCCGTGAGCTGTTTCCCCAGCAGCCAGGGCTCAGCGGGTAGCAAGCTGGCTACGGAAACGCAGTGAACTGCAGCGGGGATTGAGTCTGCGCTGCGAGATCACCCGGATGCAGGGCCGGTGTTACAGTGTAATTTGTTACCCGTCAAATTATGTGACCTCGATAGGTGATTTCAGCGAGCAAATGTTTTAACCACAACAGGATTTGTGACCTCACGGCAAAAATGCTTTCGTGATATTTTTTTTATTTTTTTTTATTTTTAGTGGGTTTCTTAACAGGAGCCACCCTAAACAGAATATAAGAATATAATATTCAAATTACAAAATTATTGAGCTCATTTTAAAAAACATAATCTAGGTCACCGTTATACCACATTTTCAGTTAAAACATGCAACAGATGCACATAATACAAGACATACAAAGAAATGAAATGGGTAATATTAATTTTAATTAATATACACATCGACTAAATAAGACAACATTGTGTTGCATTGTTAGACACTGATTAAGAAAAAGTTTCTTAATTGATTAAATATTTTTTTAAGCAAAAATACCAAAGACTCACAGGTACAGTTTCTGAAATTGGCATGTGTAAAGAAATAAATCAAACTTTACAACAATCTGAACTGAAACAATTTACAATTTAGGTTTTTCAAACTAGATTTTGACTCAAAAACCGTCTTCACGACCGGGGTCACAGGACGGAGGATGGATGGGTACACGTAACAGCTGATATTCTTCTTCAGTGGTGCAAATTACTAGTAAATGTGTGATTAATCAAATTCTGTTGACAGATGATATGGAATAAACCTGGGGCTTTTGGGGCTCTTGAGATCGTCGGTCCCTGGGCAGTTGCCTGCTTTGCCCAGGTGCTAATCCAGCCTTGCTTCATAGGTCACACAGTTTGATCGCTGTTTAACTTCAGTTACCAGTGCAGAACACCAAATGGACTATCACATGTAAGTGCAAATAAAACAAGTACAAGAAAACCATGTCATAATATTGTTTGGTGTTTAGTGAACCCAGAGGCAGAACACAGACTCGGCTGAGCAAGTTGAAAAGGATTTATTGTAAAGGGAATAGTGGCAGAGCAGGTAAAGTCGAAAGCTGGGAGATTAATGAGCGGCAGGGAGGTGATGAATGGCAGGACGGTGAATCCTTTGATGGGAAAGCAGGACAGGAGAGATGAATGAGAGACTGGCAGGCGATGAGTGACAGAGCTGGGAAACGGTTGATGAGGGAAGGACAGACAGACAGACAGTAGGGGTGTGACCCTGAAGCACAGGGGGAAATGTGCCTTGCTGTTGTACCACACAGGTAGAACTGAACAACCTGGCGAAGAGTGACTGGAGAACCGAGGTTTAAGTGCTGCAGAGCTGATGAGTAGATGAGGAACAGGTACACTGGCTGATGCAATCAGGAGGAAGGTGGAGTGGTGCAGGTGAGGTGCACACGACATCACCACTTCCTGGGACAGACAAACAAGCCCAGACACACAGTGAGAGAGAGAGAGAGAGAGAGAGAGAAAGAGAGAGAGAGAGAAACAGAAACTTAAGGGAAGGGGAACAAATGAATAGAGGAACCTACACATCACATTCTCGGTTTGTTTTGGGGCCCCCTGCTGGCTGAGGGGTCCTGAACACAACAATGCACTATAGTTGGAGGAAAGGATGAGACATGCACATTAATATTCTCATGCATAGCCCTCCTCACTAAAGATCTTCCCTGCATAAATTTGATAGGAGGGGCGCCCTTTTGTAAGCAGTTTAGTTCCCAATTCAGGATCCAATCTATTGTGTGTGCATGAAAAAATAGGCCGTATTTCCTCCTTCCTCCTGTTCCCCAAGGAGGAAAAACGAGGTTATTTTACCTCCACAGAGGATTATAAAACTAGAATATCTGGTTAGATAAAAACCAGAAAACCTGTTTAAGTGATAACCTTTGTGATCTGTCATTTAGAAAGTTTTTTATCATTTTAGGAAGCTATTTTCACAGGCTGACATTTCTTTACTGATTCAGGAATTGTCAGGAATTAAGTAGCACTCCTTAAATAATACATCTGAAGCAGTGATATGGAACAGATGTAAGATAGGCTACGTGGTTAATCCCACCAGTGTTTTATAATGAAGTAAAGCACATGTCATTTAGATTAATACATATTATTTGATCTGTGACAGTTTTTGTGTCACATGAATTTAAGATGTTAGAAAAAAAGTGAGCAAACATAGGATTTATTTTGTAATATCCATAAAGTTTTATCTTTTCTCTGATGAATTTCCGTTCTGTAAAACGTTTTAGGATGACGGGAAAAAACCCAACACCATATTTGTAGGGTGAAATGTTTCCTTTCATGTTACTCAATGCATGAGTTTGTCATCGTGAATCAACATGTGCTACTGTACTGTCTCCTACAGGATAATGTGGCTGTCCACCAGTTGAAGCTCAAGGCTTCATAGTAAATCTGCAACAGAATAACTTCAAACTCAAAATCCACCTGTTGGAGTGGCCCGGTCAGAGCCCAGACCTTAACCCAGTACAAATGCTGTGGAATGACCTCAGAGAGACGCTCACTCCAGACATCCTGAGAAAACAGCTGAACTGAAGCAGTTATGTTCCAGAATTCCTCCTGACTATTGAACAGGTTTCATCAGCAGCTACTGGAAGAGCCTGTTTGAGGTTATTGCTGCTAAAGGAGGTTCAACCAGTTATTAAATCCAAGGGTTCACTTACTTTTTCTTGCCACTGTAAGTATATTGACTCAAGTAAGTACAATTCTTATATTTCTTTCTCCCCTGCCAATAAAAAAAGTTGAGGATTTAAGAAGTGTCATGATGCCTCTGCTGGAATAACATAAAATCCTATTGGAAAAAAAAACAAACATAAAGTAAAATCAATTACAACAAAAAACATTATTTCTATGATAAACTTCCTATGCCTCAGATTTTGTCACAAAGATGTACCCTAAGGCTTTCTTCAAGCCCTTTAACTGTCTTTGCACGTGCATGTCTTGTACACTAGATGGCGCAGTCCACCAACATCCTACCATCCTGCAAGCTGAGCGTTTCGCAGTGTTGGAGGGCTTATAGCCAAAACTCAGCACCATGGACAGCAACATATGGATTCCTGCCCCTGATTGGTCTCCTTGACGTAACAAGGATACGATCTGTTTTTAACAATCTCCTTCATTCACATTCTGGCAGTTTTGCACACACTCAGAATTTGCCATTTCAGTGCAGGAGGGGCTCAGGCGTGTCAAAAGGGTCGGTTTGACACACCGAATGTCTGTGCAGTGAAATACCAGTCTGGTATTTATGTCTGCCTTTCACAGACGGTGAATACTTAATTAACACAGACCATCATAAAATGGGTCAGTCAAGACACAGTGAGAGATTGAGAGAAGCACAGCAGGGATACGTACACCGTTTTACTCTTTCTCAACGCATTCGCACGTTTGCCCAAATTGAAATTTTCATGCGATCATGAATATATGAACAAAGCTGCCAGAGAAAATACACACTGGAGGGCAGATAAAATAGGGCAATATCAATAATGCACAAGTAATGGGATCTGTTGCAGAGAGTGCGGCTCCTATTCAGACTGTCATATTTATAAACAACAAGTTAAGAGGTTGAGCTTTTGTGTCCGATGTGAAAAAGTATTGGGGCCAGCATCCCTGTTTGACTCCTGAATTTAGGTCTCTAGTATCTGGGACATATATCCATAATTAGCAGTTGTGTGTTACTTCTTCCCTCACTTTCCCTCAGGCACAATTGCCACATGAGGTAAACTACCTTCTTGGCTTTTATGTTTCAACTCACTTGATCAGCAAAGTGTAGAAATGCTGGCATAACAAAGCAGTACAGCCTTTTTTTTCTCTTCCTTTTCTTCTTTTTTTTTTCTTTTTACAAATAGTCTATTCCAAGGTTAAATAAAAAGATTTAGCTACATACCATATCTGGATAGAGCCTAAATTTGGACAAAAGCTACAGTGTATAGGTACCCGGCGGCAAGATGTAGAACAGTTCCCCTGATGCAGAGCAAGGACATCGAAAAGTAAAACTACAGGACAGCAAAGAACAGATTGGTGTGCAAAAATAACCTGAGTAATACACATGTCAGTGAACTTAAAGGACAAAGTTTCACTATTCTCCAAACCTCTATGAGACAATGCATTGGATTATATCTCTAACTTAGTTATGAGCAGAGTAACTGCACTTTATATGACATTATTTGCATCCTAATTGCTTCCAGGGCGAAGGTTTATTTGATGCAGATGCACAAAGTCTAAATTTAGGATTTTTACTAGTGTGCAGACTTTCATTCAAATGTACTGCAATAAAAACAGCTTTATAGTTTCGGTAGAAAAACAAATGACCTCATCAGTCTTCCTCAGGATTAAACTATAGTACACGGTCAGGTATGTGGACAGGGGTGTCTATATACTTTCAGCCATAGTGAATCTTACATACATATAATTGAATCCTATAAATATAAATCACAAATATGAGCATTTGAACAACAACATCTGGCCCCACAGAGAAATGTAAATATGATTTTATATTAGAACCACAACAGTAAGTAACGGGGCTCTCATGATAAAAAAAAACAAAACACATTGGAGCTTGAAGTAAACTAGAAATGGCCAACACTAGAGTAATGAACAGAACTGCACACAGACCTTCTGAGGTCAACTGATGTCACGTGTCCGGCTTTGCTGCTACTTCTAAATTTGTGACCACAATAGTAGAGTAATAGTATTGAGTAATACATTTAATTTGCACTGGTCAACAGTGATGCAATCTAACTAAGTGCATCTGTGCAAATACTGTAATGAAGTACAGTTCTGAGTACTGATAAGTGACTATTTCCAAAATATGACAACTCAATACTTGAACTTTCCTATAATTCAGAGGCAAATGTTTCACTTTGCTCTCCACTGCATTTACTGCACAGCTATTGCATATACTAAACCTACTACACAACATTATTTAAGCAATTAATTGAAATGCTTCCTACACACTCATTCTCCAATACTTGCTGTAATAATATGTTACGTAATGATGTAACACTGACAGTGGTCCTTTTTCTGCATAATGAGTACTTTTTCTATTGCTATTGCACTTGTGTTAATGATCTGAATGCTTTTTTTCCCTCACTACTGGTGGTCAGTAATATAAGAAATCATTATCAGAAGTCATTGCTGTAAGTGCCTGATACTCCAGCTCTCTCTGTTTCCCTCTGCGTCAACAACATGCAGTCGCCTCCCTGGAAACAAAGGCATCAGAATATTATGTCTTTTCTAATCTCTTGTCTATCAATGACTGTAGCAATAAAACAGTAGCAATGCTTTGCCCCCCCCCCCCCAGTTTAACACACTCTCTAACACAGTCCTCTCTGGGTGGTGTGTGTAGCAGTGTGGTACATCCTCACATATTTCCTCCCTCCACTAAAATCAGGTCATGCTGATAGCTTTTCTCTGCTATTGGCCATATCAAGGCGGGCTGCAATGCATATGCATGGGTCTTAGCTCATCTCACTGCGAAGTGATTAACAGATAATTATATGCATGGGTTGCATAACAGACAAGTAACACTTGGAGCTGCGATTGAATAGGTTGCCATTTAATGAGGAATATTTGTGACAGCTTGAAATGTGAAAATGTTTTTCTCCCTCTTGCTGTTTACGTGGTTGAAGAAAATGGCAGTTGTGCCTGTTTCGCAGTTTCTGGCCTCTGATTATTGTGGGTCAATCATCGGCAAGTCTTGGTTGCTCGGGGAGTGTCACAGACTTTACCCAGCAGGATGTGTGTCATGCTGACCTGTTTATTAGCCTGACTGTATCAGTGGATTATCAGTCGTCTCCACAGAGGTGTTTATGAGGCAGCCCACACGAGCCACACAATATTGAGAAAACTGGGAAAGCTGTAATATGAGTAATATGAATACGAAGTTGCTGGCTATGACACACAGACTCACAGGCTTCTGTTTGGTGGCTGTGGATTCAACACTTGGTATCAGACTCAGGTCCTGTCAGAGCGTCTAACCGCTGGCGGCCTTTGTTTGGCTCTTTGCCTCGGTCGCCAGCAGCACCATGACTGGCTCCGGCTCCGGCTCTCCTCGGGAGCCTCGCTCACTTTGATCGTGTCCCAGTGGTGGTCTTCATTGGACGGCCCGGTGTCGCACAGCATCATTTGTTTGACAAAGAAGGCACCTGCCTCATCAATATTTATATTGTCCTGTAATAAATGGTGAGGGAGAATATGATTTAGAACATTGTGTTTGCATCTGCTGAGTGTTGAGTGTTGTGAGTTGTTCCTGTGTGTTAATATTTGTTTTACAAGCAGGATATTTAGGCGTTAAAGTTCAGATATACAGAATAGTATAATGCATGCAATTCTGTTTGTGAGCCACAAAATCCATTGACAAGATTAATTAATTAATTAGTGAGCTAGTCAACCAATCAGTGATTGATTTAAACTAAAGAAAAGGATGAGAGAGTATGAAGTTTATGTTATTAACTGAACCCTATTGGGGAAAATGCAATGAATATCACCAGCTTCAGTTTCAAAAGAGCCAAACAGGAGCACAACCTCACACATATTTACATTTTTCTGCTGTGTATTGATTTCCTTACACGTGCCACACTGATACTTTTGTTTAACAATTTTCGCTGAGCAGTAGCCACAAGTCACAATTAAGGGATAAAAGCAAAATTTGCTGCCACCCAGTGAAAACTATGTTTCTCTAAATGTGGTGATTGTTGCTTTTTCTTAGATAAACTGAAGAATCAAATGTTCCTTTATGGGTTGAAAAAAAACGCTTGTAATCAAATTTTACAAAAAGTCAAGTGGTACATTGTGAAATGGGGGTTTTAAAGGGCACCTATAGGTATGGGCTCACAGAGCTGATTCACATGTTGACTCTATGTTGAAATTAATTTACTAAAACCTTCATGGCAAAAGAGAAGCAGCACTGAAAAACATCGTATTTCAATCTTACTTGACTCATCTAATCATGTTGGCACATCTCAGCTCATCTCATAATAACTCTAACGCAACACACACCTTTGCAGAAGTCTCAAACCAGCCCACCAAGTTGTTGTCTTCACAGAAGCTGTCCAGAGAAGACAACAAGTCTCCGTCCCTCCCTGTCATGTCACATTTGTTGGCCAGCAGGACAGCAGGGATCGGGCATCCACCGTTGAGACAGACTTTGCTGTCCAGGTCCTGCGTCCACTCTAAGACACCCCCCCGAGGTGGGGCTCTTTGTAATGTCAAAGACCACTAGTGCTCCCATCGCCCCTTTGTAGTACACTCTGGACATATTCTTGAACCTCCACCTTGAAGCAAGAGAAAATAAATCTGTGTAATTTATGTTTCCCCGCAGCTTGTGCTCAAATCTGACTCCCCGAGTGAAGATTGATTCATTTCACACAGACAGGCTGTTATTATTTGGCAAAGGGCTCACAGTTCTTGAATTTGAATTTAAAGTTGCTCCAGACGCACAGTAAGTAATGCTTCTGTTTGTTTATCATGTGTGACTTGAATTAACATATCAAATTGGAGTGCTGCTTTAGCGTTATGTAACAAGTGAGAGACTCACAAGAATAATTTACTGAAATAAAATACTATGTTTCCATGGACACTGGTTAGGGTTAAAATAAGACCTGAGAAAACACTGGGTAAAAAAACACTGCAGTTTTACTTGCTGCAGTTTGCAGGCATGAGAACACTGAACATACTGTCAACTTATTCAACAGTTATCATCAAATCACAGCAGGATGTGTTTGAGTTTGATTTCAGCAGATTGAATCTCTGAAGCACATTATTGTGTTTTGGCTCTGTAGAGCAAACTAACATACTGCAACACTGACTACACTCACCTGCAATATCCCAGAGATGCAGTCTCACCACTGTTCTGGCATCTCATTCAACTGTTTTTAGAGTAAAGTCAACTCCAAGAGTAAATTTGTATCTTTCATCAAAGTGTTTCTCACACTAACGCAAGATAATGCTGCTTTTCCCCAACAGCTACATCTCCAATGACTAAAACTTTCAACAGCTTGTCTGTACATACCGTCACTGAACTTTCTGCCATGTTGTAGTTGACAAGCTGACACAGGTACTGAGACAACTAACCAAAAGCAAAACCATAGGTCTGCCTCACGCGCAGTTTTCCATGTTTTTAACATGTTGCAAATATTTAATTGTCTCAAGCCTTCTTTTTCCTTGTATGACTTCTTCCACGTTCTTGTTTTTTCTTTCAGTTTCTTCCTTCAAACAAAAGCCATAAATCTCTGACCTCTGATTTAACACAGTTGTTGGATTAGAGCTACTCAACTTTTCACCATGAAAAACAGGAAACAAAAGCATAAAAAATATTTAATTTACTCCAGTCAAACAAGTATTCTTCAAATGCTCTACAGTAAATACTGGTTTAAAATGGCAGACTTAATTTATACTGTGTATATATCAGGCTGCAAATAGCTTATTCAGAATATTACTAACAGTAGCGCTTTATCACATTATACGGTTTCAATAGGCTGTTAAAGTCTTAATATTTAGGAAATTGATTGTTGTACACAGCCAGTCAAACAATATAAGCATACACGGCTAATGACTTCTGTCTAATACTGTAATGGATACGGATATTATCTGAATACCAAAATATGATACACAATTCATACATTCACAAAACGTATGTATATCATTTATCTTATACATAAATTTATACAATTATGAAATCGGATGTCTAATTATAAAAGATACAAATTTGAAACTAGTTTCACTGGCATTTCAAGACCATAGAAATGAGATAAATGTACAAAAGAAAAAAAAAAAGCATCTTAATGAAAATGTGGCACTTGAACGTCCTGCTACATTCGTGATACAGACGGTGCACTTGCCTGGCAGTACTGTATCAATCAGAAATTCACAGATAATTGTTTTGTTTTTTTTCCCAACATGAAATCATGTTGACATGTCAACTTTTAAATTCCTTCAAAAGGAGAATTTTTTTCTTCTGAACTACCTGAAAAAAAAGTAGTTTGATATTTGGAGAAATATGCTAAATTTCTGTTTTCCAAGATTTCAGTGAGAAGACCGATATCACTCTTTTGTCTCTACACTAAATGTGGAGCTACAGTCAGCAGCTGGTTAGCTTAGCCTAGCATAAAGACTAGCTAACAAGTTAAACAGCTAGCCTGGCTCTGTCCAAAGGTAACAAAATCTGCCTACCGGTATCTCTTAAGCTCAGTAATTACAGAAGATAGATCTTGTTAGTTTCATACAAAAATCATAGTGTACAAACAACAATTTGTGATTCTGTGAGAGGTAAATGTGGCGGGCTATTTTTTTGGCTGGATGCATTGAGGTTTCCAGGCAACCGGCAGAAGGAATTACTGCACCAGCCAAGAAATAGCCCCTGTAACTCCCAGAAAAGTGGTGGTTAGTGGTGCTAGTACATTACCTCAGACAGAGCCAGGCTAACTGTTTCCCCGTCGTTAAGCTGAGCAGAGCTAATGGCTGATGAGCTGTAACTTTATATTCATTGGACAAATATGAGAGTGGTATCAATCTTGTCGTCAATGCTCCACAAGAAAGTGAATAAGCATATTTCCCAAAATGTCAAACTGTTCCTTTAAATCTCTTCATGTCTTTCTTTTCCTGATAAAACACGCACTGAGTAACACAAACACATTTTCTTAAAATACTGTCAAATTGAATCGTTTTGCGTCACATACAAACTATATTCACCATTAAGTCGCCCTGTTTAAAACTCACCTGCTTGTTACATCACCTATGTTTGTCAAATAAATCTATTTAAATGACATTAATTCATAAAAGTACATACATAGACAATCTTAGTTATTGGTCTCATAAGAAGAAAGTCTATTTTTATCCTAAAAGCTTATGTTAGCATAGAAATATATGTTTGTAATAGGCAAATTCTTTCATCTAACATCTAAAAGAATTTTAAAATGTGGCGCTTTGTGTTTCACCCTTATCATGTAAAAGCTATTAATTTATAGAGTGAAAAATGACTTGTAAGACCACAGGATGACTTTTTCCTTATATATATAATCATATACAGCACAAGTCATTATAAATTGGAAAATATAGTACAACTGGCAATATTTTAAGCGTGTGCCCTCACAGAGTTGAGGAGCTTTGCTTGAAGTCTTTGAGGATGACAGAGGCGTATGTCACATTTGGAGGAGTGCACAGAATCGACTCGGACACCGGCGAGTTGGGGAAGGGGCTCACGGGAGGAGCAGCGCAATCTCGGAAGGGGGAGGGGGGCATCAGAGCCAGAGAGTCCCCCATAGCTAATTTGACCTCGACCAGGTCCTCCTCGTCGTGAATCTGTGCGTTGTTGTACATGTAGCCGTGGAGAAGGCCGAACTGCTCGTTCTCCATCTCGTCCTCCTCTAAAGGGGAGGCGGGCTCCTCGTCGAACGGGTCGAGATGGGCGGGCAGGACCGGGTCCTGCTGGATGAGGTGGGCCTGGTGGTACACGGGCATGCCGCCGCTCACGGCCTCAGGCATGCTTATCATATCATTGAGCTGAGGGATGTCACTGTTGAATTTGCGCACCACCACCTCCTCCTGCAGGTGGTCCACGATGACATGTTGGGGGATAATACTATTTTTCTGGAGATGCTCAGGGGTGTAGAGCTCCACCTCCTCGCCCACATCTTTTATCAGCCCACAAGCAGGCATCTGCCCGTGGGTCATCATGGGGGGAGTGGCGGGGGGGTTGTATGTGATCGGCTCACTCTCGTCCTCCTCAGCCACATTGTACAAAGTCTTAGTGCTGAGGTCTGAGAACTCCAGTGCTGTGTTATGGTAGGTATTAGTTAAGGGTTTGATGACAGCCATCTGATTGGAACCTGCTTCCTGTCTCTTCACATGCACTGACAGTCTGTGCCACATGTGATCCCCTTTTGGAGGATGTCTTGCACCTGGTTCAGACCATGACACAGACTTTCCATTAGAACTATGAACAAAATAAAGACGGCTGTTACTTCACAGGAGCCCAGAAAAGTGAAGACAAAAACAGCATTTCTGGTTCATGTAAAAGACCTTTCTTTCATTATGGTTATTGTGTAAAATATTTTAAGATTGTGAGTAATATTCCAGGGTATCTGCAGGTTTTAAAATGTACTGAATTCAGTTTCCTCTAAAATAGGCCTCTGAAGGTGATAAAGCCTTACATTTAAATTTTGTATCTGATTGCAGGAGATGTTACACATTTATAAACTAAAGGCCAGATTATTACGAAAATGAATTTACAACACACACACACACACACACACACACACACACACACACACACACACACACACACACACACACACACACACACACCACCCTTTGCAGAGTTTCATCCAGCTCCATCAGCCCTGTACTCTCACTCATGTTGGCTAAAGTAGCTCAAAAATTTACTTACAATGGTCAAGTGCTTAACTAAGACTTAAATGAACTTAAAAACTTAAATGAATTAATCTTTTTTTATTGGTTTATCCATTTTATCCCGGCTCCTGTGTCCAGGTCTCATAATTTTATTAATTATATCATTAAGAATTATTTTAATTACAGCTGGAAAGTTAAAAAAAAATGTGATACAATTATATATAATTCTAGGCCACACTGTCCCTGCTGGTTTCCAAAGATACTTTCATACTTTGGCCACTTTACTTTGTAAAAACTGGCATTTAATTGAATTCTCCACAGTATTAAAAAGATCAGTCTTGATTTTAATTCGGTGAACCCTGCAGAAACCCTGTATTCTGAATTTGTGATTTCATTTGTCATCCCTTAGCACACAGAGATGCTTGTTTTAATATCACCAACAGATTAAACGTTGACATGGCTGTGTGAATTGAGTACTGACCTATATCCGTCACACTGTACAACAGGTGATCCTATGAAAGTGAATACAGTAAGACATCAGGTTCCCTTTGAGAGGGAATTACAGTAAAACCAGCATCCCTGAGGTGCCTCAGGAGCAGGACTCTCAGACTCAATTAATGAACCCACCTGCCGTTCCCAGCGTTCTTCTTCCTCTTGAACATGTTGAGCAGGCTGTTGCTTCGGCAGGCGATTTTGCCGTCGCCGACGTGCATGCGCACAGCGTCAGAGGTGGTGAACGCACTGCGCACGTTTCGCTCCGGTTTGGCAATGATGATGTACATCTTTGGTGTGAACATACAGCCCAAAGCCACAGTCACACTGAGGCTCACGGAGAAAGATGTTGTGATGATCTTGTAGTTGCTGCCAAAGTAGATGGGCACAAACGCCAGCCAGATGATGCACGTGGTGTACATGGTGAAGGCGATGTATTTGGCCTCGTTGAAATTTGCGGGGACGTTGCGGGTCTTGAAGGCGTAATAGGTGCAGCTCATGATAAGCAAGCCATTGTAGCCCAGAGGGGCAACAACACCAAGGTTGCTGGTGTTGCAGATCAGGAAGACCTCTCTGATGCTGGGGTAGGATTTGATGGGTTCAGGCGGCTCCATGATGATGAGGGTAACCTCCAAGGTGAGCTGGACACTGATCAGGATGGAGGCGATAACCACCTGAGCCCAAGCACTCATGAACCTCGGCTTCCTGGTGCAAATCTTCTTCTTGCTGCCTGCCAGGATGCGGGCAATGCGGTTGGTTTTGGTCACCAGGGCGGAGTAGCACATGGCGGCTGAGAGTCCAACGAGAAGCCGCTGGAGGTAGCAGGAGGCCACGGTGGGGCGGGCGATGAGGGTGAAAGGACACACATAGCCCAGGAAGATGCCTGCTAAGATGATGTAGCAGAGCTCCCGGCTGGAGGATTTGACCACAGGCGTGTCGCGGTACAAGACAAAGACAAAGGCAACAAATGATGTAACCAGGATGCCCACACAGGAGAAGACCACCTGGATAATGGACTCTGGGTTACTCCACTCCAGGTAGCGCAGGGGGATTGGCTCACAGCCTGAAATGGGATAAAAGACATGAGAATAAATACACAGCCATAAATACACAGCCACTATATACTGAAAGCAACTCATCAAATTTTCATATTTCTGGTGTGACCTTGTCGGCAAGACTTTTGATTATTAAAGTGCACATTGTCTAAATCTAAATTAGTTCTGCATAGAAGGAAATAAAGGAAAATATTCTGAGGCTTTATATTAGGGAGACTTTCAAAATTAGTTGAATACATTTTAGCCTGAGAAAATACAGTAAGAGTCAAAGTAGGTTTTTAGCTCAACTATAAATAAACCCCTTTCTACTGAGCCATGGCCAGGCTGGGCTGCAGCCAGCGGAGGAGGGGGGCCAATGCAGCAGGACAAAGTACATCACTGCGTATTTCATGGCTCCAAATAAGATCTCCTTCCTGCTTCACGTTAAAAACACACTTTAAATATCTAATTTGTGTTGTTTATTAATTCATTGTATAAAAGGAAGAGGGTTAGGTTTTAGAAAAGTAAAAGTTTTATGTCCTCACTGTGCTCCACATCTTCTCTTTTCTGTGTATCTAAAGGTCTTGAGGTTTAAAAAAAAAAAAAAAAAAAAAAAGGCCGCATGGAGGCAGGATGGTCCTATTAAGAAAGTGTCTTGTCTTTGAACAGCAGAGAGCGCCTTTGAAAGTGGGCCAGAAGAGTGGTAAGTGAAGTAGGGCTGCTGTTGGTTCGTGAAGATGATGAATGGCTCTCAGGTGTCATGGGAAGGCGATGGAAATAGGACAGAATAGGTGTATGAAATAGCGCCGCAAAAATCTTAGCAGGACAAACTGTACAGAGCACAAGTGGAGGGAGGTGGGAGAAAAGCTTGGAGGAAGGTAACTTTTTACAGAGACCGAAGCTTCTCCTCTGAAAGCATCAATCATGCAACAGGAACTCAGCCTGTGGGCCACGAACGTGACCTAAAACCATCTTTGCAGAACAACAAGATCTTCTGTTCTAATCAGATGAGACTTTAATTGTTCGATAAATTTTGCGGAGAAATTAAATTTTTAGAGATTTAATGCAACAGTTTGACATTTTGGGAAACACTCTGTTGCTGAGAGTTCGATGAGAAAGTCAAAATCGCTGTTGCATCTTTCCGGTAAATATGAAGCTGCGGCCAGGAGCCCATTAGCATAGCTTAGCATAAAGACTGAAAACAGGGGGAGACAATAAATTTACACCAATTAGCAGCAAAAGACAACAATTTTTGGTTGTATGGGGCTTTAGGTGTTGGATTATTTCTTAGCCAGGAGCTGTAACCTCCTCAAGGTGCATAACCACAAATTGTTATTTTTACACTATAGGGCTCATTTCAGAGCCAGACTAACTGTTTCCCGTGCTGGCTGAAGCCTTATGTTGAACAGGGAGATATGCAAGTGGTATTGATCCTCTCACCTCTATCTCTCAGCAAGGAGGTGAATAAGCATATTCCCCAAATGATCAAACTAACAAAGGGAAACCAGTCGGAGCTCTTCCAGCTGTGCTGCCGTGTAAAAAGTTTTCCAAGCAGATGAGAGTTAAAATAATAACCAGAGAGTAAAGGAGGACAAGCCCACCTTCCAGTTCTTCATCAGGCCACCAGCCCAGCTCACAGGCCTTGCATGTGAACTCATCCTGGACGTATTCATTATCTTTGCAGGCTGTGCAGATCCAGCAGCAGCTCACTTCTCCCTTCCTGATCACCTGGTCGACAAAACACATTCAACAAGTTTTTCTTTTTTACTGTTGTAAAAAGTAATGTAGTGTACTAATATATTATATAACAGAGTCATCAACTGAAGTCGTTACACAACTAATTCATAAAGAAATAATAGGTTGTAAGTAATGGCTTTATTAACGGTTATTTACACATTTTTATAGATTAGTTATGAACCATTAATAACAACTATTGTGTTGCCAGGTTGTGAAAACGTATTTCTAGAAAAGGGCTGCAGACAATTTAGAGCAAAATTATCATCTTATTAATGCTTACAACTGTAGAAGTATAAAAACTTTAATTATTGACATTTTAACATTTCTAACTAGACTTGATGACTTAATATACATGTACATCCAAATTAAATTATTACCAAAAAAGAAATGATAAACAGCATCCAAAAGGGATTTTTCACAACCTGGCAACCCAAAATGTGTTTGTGTGTGGTCACAACATGTGAGGGATGTGTCCTTTTGCCTTGATCTCTCCTTTGGAGCAGGGCTCACTGCAGACAGAGCGGACCATGTCACTGTGGTTCATCTGGAACATGTCATCGTCAAGACTGAGTAAGCCCTCGTGCCAGGAGCCAGTGTTGATGTAGTCATAAACACCAGGCTCTACACGCTGGAAGTTCATAATCTCATACCTGGGGATGAATAGAAAGCCACAAGTCAACAAGGTTTCACCGGCACTGAATCAATTCTTAAATAACTCTTAAATAAAAAGAGTTTTACTGGCAGTTACAACAACAGAGGAAGGGTATGTTCTCAGCAGGGGCCTGTCTGGTTCATGATCAATACCACTGTGGTGACTCTGGGATTATTTTTCCAGGTGCTGATATTTCTGTCTTTCATCTACTTGCTCTCTGTTTTCCAATAAAAAGTTCCCAGTGGAATTTCAAGCCACCACTCCAACCTCACCTGATGATGCAATTTCAGTTCCTCACGGATGAAAGATAATGCCAGAAATACGATAATATTTATTTATTAAAGATAAAAAGCCTTGTTCCCAAGAGTGTACATAACAAAGAAGAAGTTTTATTATTTGCTGTGTATGATTTAGAGTATAGCCAGTCATTTTACTGGACAGTTGCACTGATATTCAAAACTGATTTTTCATTTTCATTTGTCGTCTATAAAGATGAGATAATTCGTCATAAAGTTTGTGTTTTAGGCAGAATTATTCTTCATATAAGAACTGTAAGGATGTAACCAACAATTATTTTTATTACTAATATGTTTAGCAACACTCAAAACCCCAAAGATGTTGACTTGACTTTCATAGAAAACTGGCAAATAATTGAGAAGCTGGTAACAGTGAATATTGAAGCGTGCTATATTCATATACATATGTGTGTGTGTGTGTGTGTGTGTGTGTGTGTGTGTGTGTGGTGTGTGTGTGTGTGTGTGTGTGTGTGTGTGAGTGAATGTGTGTGTGTATTTGTCAGATTCCAGCTTAACAAAGTTCCCCTAGTTGTCTCTGGGTTTCACTCAGGGAGGAGAGAGTCAGAAACTTCTAATGGAGGAGATAAAATTGGATCTGTGTTGCTCCAATTTCAACTGGTTTCTGATGGAGGTTGGTAATGGTTGTAGGTCACCTAACGCTGCTTAAAGTGAAAAAACACCACAGGTAAACACAGGACTCTGAAGAATCACTATACAGTGTTTCAAGAAGAGCGAAAGCTAAGTGCGTTTTACCTCCCAGGTGAGTCTCCGTTCTCGTCGAACCATATGTCTTCTCCAGAAACACCCATGAAGGTCGTCTTGAGCAGGAAGTCCAGTAAGTGGCTGCCATCGACGGGCTTCATGGACTCACAGAGACCCACGTGGCCGGGGCAGAGGTGAGTGTGCATGTCATGCAGCCCGTGGGCCATGGCGTAGATGGCGTTGATGACGAAGCCCATCTTGCTGTCTTGAACATAGTTGTCCTCCAGATTCTCATAACCTGTCCACACATGAGAACATGGTGAGGATTCATCTCCCGGAGCAAAAGCCTTACAGGGGGGTCGCCTCATTTCTGCAAGCGGTAGCATGTTATGTGATTTCAAGTCTAAAATTCAGGTGTACTGCACAGGTGTGTCTAGCATGATGTCACATATTACAAAGGAGTGATAGGGTGCTCGCAGATGCATTCTTGTTATTATTCTGGGAATACAGGCAGGAAGCCACACGCCTCTTTGCCTCTGTGGGAGACTGCTTTAAAAGAACTTGAAGCCTCAGAAAGCAGTTTCAAAGAAACCTTGTTACCATGGCAAGACTATCCATTTCTGCATTCATGAGTCAGGATTCAATTAGAGTTGGTCTAAAGCACTGTGCCACTGAGATTGTGTCTCCTCAAGCAGAAACATAAACCAACTATTCTCATGTGTTTGGATCTTTTGTCTTCGGTGTGTATTGTTTTTCCTCAGACAAACACGATGAGCGAATGACACCAGAAATGATTCGTATTTGGATACAAACAGTGTGTGATGTTGAAACACACCCTATCAGTTCAGTGTAATGCAAGCTAGAAGCAGAGTAAGCAGGGTTTTTTTTTTTTTTTTTTTTTAGTTGCTCGGTGTAAAGCTAAGATGTCAGAGTCATTACAAAGAGCTAAACCATGCATTCAATCCATTTCGTTGAAAACAGTGGACGTACGTTTGGCAGCTTCTGGAGTTAAAGACCTTTTTTTTTTTTACAACTTCCCTTTTGGTGGAGGTTTTTCCTACTAAATACTTGCAATTGAAATTTTGCATCCTCTGCAGCTGTGGTCCAGCGCAGCAGCTCTCACTGTAATTCACACGTACATTTGGAGCACAATAAAATTAGCACTTTATGCTTGTAAACGATCAAAGCCTATGAATTTTAATCCAGCACATGGTCTATTACTGCTAATAGGAGTGAAAATAATGTGATACAGTCTTTCCCTTCAGTGTATCTGTCACCTGAATCAGTTCCAAAATTTCCTCTTTAATATTTTATGCAAAAGAAGTGGAACATGATGGAGCAACTGATAATGTAATACCTGCTGGAAAATGATACAGCTTGTTAAAATGTACCCGAGTTTTTCTCCTTAGAGGGAATATATTACATTAGCTGACCACTGTTAATGACGATTTGATAATACATTTGATTATATAACATGAGCTCAGTTAAATGAAATTCAAAAAGGGTGAAACTCCAGATTTTGTATTATTAAGAAATTTCAATGTAACATGTCATTTTATACCCCTTATAGCTGGTGTGTGCTCCTGTTATATAGCTCTGCACGTTATCAAGCAAGTGAGCTTGTGCTACACTATTAAAGGATTGTGAATTACCCTTTGTTAACATCTATACAGCATGGTTAGCATGCTAACCAGCTAGCCCCTGCCCGGTCGGCCCGTCTCGTCACTGTAGCGTCCATTCTGCCCTGAAGACGCAGCGCCTCTCAGACGCTGTATTATAACCTCTTGTCTTAATGAACTGAATGGTGGCTGAAGCTCTTGCCAGGACTGATAAGTAAACAGCTTTTAATGCTAATATGGGCTTACAAAATAGCCCAAATGGGTTGAAGACAAGTTGTGTTCTGTTCTATTTTCATCACAATGTCTTATTTGACACTGATCCAGATTCAGATTTAAAAATATACAAGGATTGATGTGAGGGTTTCGACACCTTGCTCTCTGTGTGCATTTTATATTGTTAACTATACATTTGTGTTTGTGTGTGCATGAGTGTTTGTATGTATATGTGTGTGTGGAAATGCATTAGGTTTGTTGTATAACACTTTGGCACAACCCTGGTTTGTCTTTTAAAGTGCTCTATAAGTAAATTTGACCTTTACGTCGACTTTGTTGCATAATTTGTCAGTAACATTGTCAGTTGCTTCATGCGCCGTTTTTTTTCTAACTGTAAATCAGGATTCACCTGCTTCACCCAACAACATTTAATTGTTTTGATGTATGATTCATGAGGCCGGTGGATCTTTACGAGCAACATTCACTGCTGGTGTGTTTGTAGTACTTGTGTTAAATCAAGTAATGGTCGTTAAAAAGGACAGCAAACAAACATGTAAACAGTAAAGTCGGTTGGGCAGCAGCTGGCTGAGCGTCCGATGGGACCTGCTGGTGATGACCTAGTTAAACAGCTCCTTGGCGTTGACGCTCGCCTCACTCCCTGAGCTGTGTGAGCTTCAGTCATGATGCAATGATGTCATGATGTCAGCATGCAAGCAGAGGACCTACTGCTGCACGTCAGGATTAGTTGGCTGCATGATAACTGAACCTTCTCTGTTTATTACATGAGTTAAACTGTGTAGTGAAAGAATAAAATGGACCTGAAAATTATTTTCCAATGCAAATTGGCTTCACCATTTCCGTGGCTACATGCAACTTAAGCCAGATCAGCCAGTTACCATCTCACTCAAATGTTATTGGGCTGTTTTATATGACTGTCTCAAAGCCAGAAAGGGTGCGAGAGCACAAAGTGAGAGCAGATGGGAACCAATTGTTGGGCTCTCACTGCAGTGTACCACAAAATAAAAAAATAAAAACATCCCAATAGCTTCATATATTAGAGGTCAACTGAGATTAATACTACATTTTGAGGGAAAAACAGTTATCAAAAATATAAACAGACTACTTGAATTATCCAAACGTGATAAAACCTTAATATCAGTCAACCTCTATGTATATTGCCAAAGTGAGGAGCATTATGGTTCCATTCAGAGGGATTCACTCACCGTCCTGGAGTTCTACACCAAAAAAATAAATACAAATATAAATAATAAATGAAAAAAACCCAAAACAATAGAACAGGACAGAAACAGTAACTCTATCTCCGCTTATGTGACAAAAATAAATACTCTTATAACTGCTACTTAAACATGATGCTTTGTAGAAATTATTAAAAGCTTGAGGTATGTGCATAAAAAAGAGGGGAGGCTCTGTTCTCAGTAAGATACAAATAATGTGCAAATGCTGCAAAGGAAAGGAGATTAAATCAACTGCAGAAAGGAAGGTGAGATGGCAAAAAGAAATTTACAGAAGGATCTCGAGAGCTGTCAACTTAAAAGTATGGTTTCAATTTTTTTTTTTTTTTTGCTGCATGCATCATTTTATATTTACGTTTATCAACACGCTTACATTCAAATAATTTCAAAATGTTTTTAAAAATAAAGGGTGCTTGAGAAAGCAGGAGTAAAATCTTCATCAACCTAATGACTTAAGATTGAAAACGTAAATATATAGGTATCTAAAAAAAGAAATATGTATGAGCAGTATGTAAAAATATGTTTTAGAAACATGCTTGTTGAGCATTGTTTCCAGAAACCAAGAACTTAAAGCTAATGCATTGAATTTGTTCCTTTGTAAAAGAAAAGGATTTAATTTACCTAGAGCATCATCCTCTGTAAAGCCAAGAGTCACAGAAATGAACAATATGAAAAAATATGTGTTATTGGATTGACTTAGAGAGAGTTCTACCCTCTGGCAGTCTAATTCATTATTGAAGAGTGTGTTCCAGTTTACGGGGCCTTTTGGCATCGTCCTCTGGGCATTGCACACATCAGAACAGTCCAAGAAGACAAGCTGATGTGCACACTGGCGTAAAAATGTAAACCAGAGAAACTGCAGGAAACGTCATAATTGCCTGACGAGTTGTTCAGCTACCTGAGCAGTTCCGTGCATAATTCATGTTCTCTTGCGGGTGTCCGGGAAGGCGGCACTGAAACCGGTACTGCCAGAACTCGGGGAACCACGGGTTGCGGGTGTTGGTGCTGAGCCTGAGTTTCAGGAAGTAGTCGTCGAAGGAGGAGACCTCTTCAGACTGCAGCTTCACGGTGATGCCGCCCACAGCCTCCTGTTCATATCCCTCGACCACCTCGACTCGGTCTGCCCAGCCGTCACTGCAGAGAGGAACACACTGCAATTAGTACAACTAGAACTGGCCCCGGTTTGTCTGTATCAATGTTATATACCAGTCAGAGACCTGAGCATGACTGACAAACAAATACCCATTAACCTCTGAAAAACACTGAAGGTAATTTCCAACGCTTCTCTCTTTCCTGAAGACATTTCAAGAATCCTTAAAGATTCAACTAACCATCTGATACTTGACATAGCCACTAGTTTGATCAAGTGATAACGACTCTTGACAGCTGTTTGATTTCTCAAAGCTTGACAGCTAAGACTCTCTGTGTTACACTTGATCCTACTCTCTCTTTTGATCAGCACATTAAAGAAATCTCCACTGAAACTCTGTCTGTTCTGTCCATGGCTAATGCAGAGACCCTAATTCACATTTTGTTTGAGGGTCTGCCAAGGTGTGTGCAAGGACAAAAAGTCTTCAGACGGTTCAGAATGCTGCGGCCAAAGATGATCATTTTTGCCAAATCACAGACAGTATCCATTTTGAGGAAGCAACGGAGACTGTTCGCGGCTCAGGGCCTTATAACAGCAAAGAAAATTCCACGACACTCCGAGGCTTCCTACCAGTTGGACATGCCTGCAAGACCTCCAAGGGAAGTCGCCCAGGAGACATGCCTCACCAGATGAATTTGGAGTGAACTTGAGTAAACAAGCTGTAAAATGTTGCTGGGGAGATGGATGTCCAAACTACTTTGCTTGACCCACTTCCACCAGGACCCAAGTGGAAGAAAATGGACAGATGGTAATTACACGACACAACTAGAAAACACCAGAAAACACTGGAACCACCTTCAGCACATCAGCTAAATGATTTGTTGGGTGTCCAACAAATTCGGTCCGTCTCCATCAGTTTCCTGGAGGAAGATGATGTCAATTTTAATGATAACTCTCACAGCTCTTTGAAGGTCGTTTGCTTTGGGTCCTATTTGTTGTCAGCACCTGGAAGTTGCTCGACATCCTCCCAGATCATATTCTTCATTCATGTTTACAGTCTATAATGTTGTCATCCTGACTGTCCACACTGTCAATCTACTATCTATTCTACCTCTATTGAATGTCTTTCCGTCCTGGAAGAGGGAATGCTAATACATAATTGAAGGATGACATGCTTGTGTACGGTCTGATAGGTGATTCCCAAATAAAGCTGTTTCTCATTAACATGTTTTTCTCTTAATGTTGTCAGACAACGGAACAAGTATGAAATAGAGACTTAAATGTGGCCAAGTAAGACTACATATTAACTTCCAAGCCATTTCTAAGGGTCTGAAAAGTCAGTAAATCTAGCGACAAAGGCGCCAACACTGCTTGTTTGCACCTAATCATTTTGAAAGAGCAACGACCGATGGGAAAACTCCAACACTCAGCTGGCCGACCAGTGGTGTAATCTTATCACTCAGTCACACATTATTTGGCTGACCAATTGTGTAACTTCAGCACTCAGTCAGTCAGTCAGTCAGTCAGTCAATCAGCAACTTTCGTGTCTATAGGGCTGGCTGTTGAGGTTCAGTCAAAACAACACGGCATAGTTGTCAAGATTTTCACGTAGATTTTAAACCTAACCCCAACTCTGACAGCAAAAGTCAAACAATAAACTTTAAAAAAAATCAGCATGTGGCAAAAGGAAAACGACACGTTCTTGTTTTATGATGTTGTTGTGGCACCAGAAGTCTGTTTGAAGCCACATGCAGCCTCATAATCTAGGCTCAGACTAAATCCTGCAGAAAGCTTCTCCCTTTTGTTTCTTTGACTTCGTTTCCCTCTCAGCCTCCCTGCTGAGGGGCGTGGAGAGCTCGCTGTACTTGCCAAAAGAAAAAAAAGAAGTCCTCAGACACAATCACAAGTCCAGTGAGAATTCACAGATCAGTACTGCAGCAGACAATCTGCCCTGGAGAGAAACAAGCTCCCACCCTCACGCACAGACTCTGAATCTCGAGTGTGGTTTTGTGTCTACACTGGTCATACTTTGTATTTATAGTTTACATGCTCGGCTATTCGAAAGTCGATTCTGCATTTAATGCTCACACAAAACATCACGATGATGAGACAAAAGCTTTTGTCTGATGCTTCAGATTTGAATCATACCCAAAAAAAAAAAAAAACAACAACCGCCCTTCATCTGAGTTGCAAATGCTTCTTGAGTATTTTTAAAGCAGCATTATGCAGTGTGGGATCAATCTGTGATGCACATATGTGATAGCCTACTGTATTTCTATGAGTGAGAAACGAACGAGGAGAGCTGGGGACATGGAGGCCTTAAATAGCATCGTTCCAGGGATGATTTGACATTGAAAGCAGCTCCACAGATTGCAACAACGCTCTGAATAAAATGAAACATCACAAATTTTCTCGCTGAAAGGAAGGCTGAAAGTTAGTCCTCAACCCTCTCTCTCTCTCTCTGAAAACCAAAAATCTTGGAACGAGCAATGTCAAATCAATTACAAAATCTGCATTCTACCTTCTTAAAAACAGACCAAGCATCGGACGTGTCAAGGCAGGACTTGGAGAAACTAATTCATGCTTTCATTTCCTGCAGGTTTGATTACTGTGACCTCTCCCCCAAAACAACTCTCAGACAACTTCAGCTCATTCAGGAAACTGCTCGAAGCGAGACTCCTCACAAAAATACATCTCTCACCGTCTTTAACCATATGAACCCTCTTGGCCTCTCAGGTCATCAAGTTAAGGGCTGATAACTGTTCCCACAGTACAAGCTAAACGTAGCAACATTTAGAGCTGGGACAAACCTCCAGAGGAGACAAGACCTGCTCTGACTTTGAACACCTTTAAATCCAGGTTAAAAACTTTTGTTCTGCACTGACTTTGACTAATACTCACCATGAACCATCTTGACCTCCTACTCTGTATTTATGTCTCTGTTCTTAACTTTTTAATTTGTTGTGTGAGGGTTTTTATTTATTTCAATTTATATATCAACATTTTAACTGTTGCTGTTTCTATGCCATTCTTTCTTTTTTAGTTTGTAAAGCACTTGTCTGGATTTGTCTTTGTGTATTAAATGTGCTCTACAAACAGTTCGATCCGATGTAATAGAGCCTGACAATTTGAAAAAGTTCAAACCAAAATGACAAACCTACATCAAGTTTTTTTTCCCCTTTTTTTTGGTCATGCTTGCATCTCAGCTCCAGGTCTGTAGGCCAATAGACCATTTTGGTCCAGACTAAAATAGCTCAATTGCTCAAGAACTACTGGATGAATTTCTATGAAATTTTGTTCAGACATTCATGGACCCAGAATTTAAATAATTTGATTAAATCAGCCTGACTTCTCCTCCAGCGCCTCTGATATTTGTGATTTTTGAGTGAAATGTCTCGATAGCACATGAGATATTCAAGAGGATGAATTGTAATAATTTTGGTGATTCCTTTTCATGATGCCAAAATTGTATTGTGTCCAATATTTTTGTTTATGACTAGATTCCATACTAATGACATTCCCATCAGCCTCAGCTGTATTTTCCACTTCACTGCTAGTTAGTAAATGTAAGCATTGTCCCTGTGAGTATGTAAATTCCAGTTTCTAAATAATTTAGTGATTTGAACAAACACTGTAGCAGAGGCTTTTTCCACCCTGCCAAAAGAGAGATGAATCTGGAGGAAAACAATGAATTTTTTGTATTCAAAAAGGGAATAATTCAAGGATTTTGATTATTGCACAAACTACAGTTAAGCAGCAGGACAAAAATATCAGTTGCCAGCTTTAGAGACCGAACCTAGCAGCACGTTTGGCTTGGCTGACACCTCAAGAATGAATTGACAATGACTGTCCAGTGTGACAGTATCAACAGTACCTGGCCATCTGCTTCCCAGCATCACACTCCCCCCAGTCCAACACTCTGAGAGCCAAAAACCTACAGCTCTGACGTCAACACACACACGTACTGTACAGATTTACACATTTATAACACAGATCTGATATCACTCATTTATGAATCATTTCACTGAGGTATAATTGAAAGACATTTTAGGAAATCACACCACAGAGTATTTATTAAATCTGAATTATGTTTTTATGAAATAATTAATCTTAAGGGAGGACGTTTTCAAAGCAATACAGATCAGGAGTCAAATATTTGCAAGTTTCCTGTCAAGCAGAGTCATAAAACTGATATATTCTTTTATCATTTCCAAAGCGATGGGAGCTTCACTTGAGAGTTGATCAAATGAATTGTCTGTTGTTCGAGATGTGTGGGATCTGTGTTGTGAGAACAGCCATTTCTTTCATCCTCCACACAGCAGAAGATGGATGGCTGATGACCAGCACCTCGGGCGTTTGGATTGGCCCGTTGTACAGGGCTGCATGTGTTCACTTGCTGCATTGCTCTAAAAAAACATTTTCCTTTTTCAGTAGTCTCCTTGACCCAGAAACACACACACACACACACTCACACTCACACTCACACACACACACACACACACACACACACACACACACACACACACACACACACACTAAAAAAAAA